GAACTTCTGTTGAGCCTAGTTGAATTTCCTTCTAATATTATAGAAAATAAAAAATCTATAAATAAATAAATAATAAATTGTTTAAACGTTTCATTATACAATGCCAGACTATTAATTTAGTGCGTTGCTTTGACTTGAAATTAAAACACAGAATACATATTTGTGAAATGACAGAAATCAGATGATTGGACTGACTGACGCCATTAAATTATTCTAGGAATAGCTGTTATTCCGTGCGAAACGGCGGTATAGTAGCAATTCCCGAATAGGCCCACTATTCTTAGAATTTGTAGTTGGTAAAACGTAAAATTTATTTACTCTCGATTAACTGACGATTAAGATTTACTCTTGTTTGGTCGAATCGACCCTAAGTCGGTTAAAATGGCAGTAGTTAAAAAATAGTATTGAAACATGGTTTATAAATGAAGCATTAGCTGGATTGAAACAAGGAAACGAAGTTAAATCATATTTATTCAATTTGACGCGAACCACAAATAATTTAAAATGTGATTACTTCGCGATTGTGGCTTCCATAAGACGTATTATAAATACATAAAACGAAGAAAGTTGTGCGGTTTTGATTAACGAGAATTTCATTTCTTCGATATTTTTAATATTTATTTCAGAATGTCAACCCAAAATAATCCATATTTAATTAATCATGAATTCATTTATACAACTGCTATTTAATATTAAATAAAATAATTATTGCGAAAGCCATATTAGTACCAAATTCCAGTATAAGTATTTAGTTGATTCTGTGAGTATTAAACTGATGAGAAATAAGATAACGCCTGCCATAACAGCCTTAATAATAAAATAAATAAAAATAAATCAGTGGCACTACAACTTCTTTAGGTCTTGGCCTCAGATTTCTGAATTTGTATCATGATAATTTTTAAATTTAATAGGCAAGTAGGTGATCAGCCTCCAGTGCCTGACACACGCCGTCGACTTTTTGGGTCTAAGACATGTCGGTTTTCTCACGATGTTTTCCTTCACCGTTCGAGCAAATGTTAAATGCGCACATAGAAAGAAAGTCCATTGGTGCACAGCCGGGATCGAACCTACGACCTCAGGTATGAGAGTCGCACGCTGAAGCCACTAGGCCAACACTGCCTTCTTCTTCTTCAGCCTTAATAATAGTGTCTTAATTTCTTCTTGTAAATATCAATAAACTTTGAAAAACACAATACAGTTCATCCATTTCCAATACAAATTATTCCTCTTTTCCCGCCAGAAAGATGACTCCCTGGGTTTTATCATAGTATTGACTAAATGGATACCAGGAGACAAGCCAGCCTTCATCCTTTCTTCGTGTAGATTTTCCTGCAAAATATTCGATATATAACAATGTATGTGATACAAAATCAAACGTGAAATACCAAAACTACAATAATTGTAGGTTTAAAGTATATAAGAATTATCTTATGAATACCAACTGTTTATCATTTTAATGTTGAAAATTTCTCAGTATAATTCTTTGAACCACAATTTTAACGAGTTACTATACAAATGTTTACGCTTCCAAAAGTTTGCATTTTGTACATTATACAAGGATTTTAGTTGTTTCCTTATGTTACTGTTTTGAAGACATTATAATTTTCAAGCAATAATTTTTAAACTCCCATTTAAATGGGCTACAGAATATGTTACTACTGAAGATAGCAAAAATAACATAGGTACATAGACTTTATAGGTACATACAAAATTACATGTTTGTTTCCTAGAAATATGCCGAAACCTTCCTAAACGAATTTATTTCTACACCAACCTTATTATCAGCAAAGAAGACCCAAAAACTACAATTAAACCGAGAACTTTTTACAACTCGCCCACCTAATTAATCTCGAAACTCATAAAAAGTTCAACAGAAAAAGTAGGTTTTATGGTGCTTAATTTATTATTAGACGTTACCTTGCCGACGTCATGCTTGATCGATCTTCATAAAATTATATTAATGGCTAAAAAATCTATTTACTTAATATTACTATGGGACGCCTGTTGAATTAAGCGTATGTCAAAGCCTGTCTTCGATCTATAAGAGCTTTTAAGTTAGTATGAAACAATATTTTGTCAGCTAAGATTTGAACACATTTTTAAGGAGACAAAATTACTCAGTTTACTTGTTTTTGTTTTCTGTGTTTTTCAGAACAGTATAGTGCAATTACATCTTTGCATTTTCAAGTCCTGATCTATATAATCAAAGTAGACAAAGACACAAGCACATATATTTATAAAAATAATGAATGAGACTTTGAGTTTCGGGGCTTCTAAAATAGCAACATTAGCTTATTTCAGTGTATTTTCTATTAATATTTTCACAATTTGAGTCTAACAGCGAAGCTCAAAGAAACGTTGTCAGTCACTCGCTGTAATAAATCTCTGACGGAAAAGAATGATAATTTTTCACTTGTTTTCCTCAAACATTGTTTGTGTATGGAATGCGTTACATACGCCTTTGAGAGTGTTGTTAGTTTTTATATTACTAAAGGTAACTGCGATACGAGGGTATCAAAGCAAGTAGGTACAAACTCAGTTCAACTTTGTAGTTAAATATCGTTTTAAAAACAGTTACGTTTTTTTACTTTAGTCTTGATTTAATGTCGTATTCCCACTATTTAATACAGACAAATAAATTTATACATAAAATAAAAAGCCTTTATTGCTGTTTAGCTGCATGCTCAATTTAATGTTAATGTGCCTTAAGTAACATAATATATTTTATTATACATATTATTCTGATTTTTCCAAACGCGGCGTTCTCTAGCGGTTCGAATCCACAGTGGAAATTATTATAACAATTTTACAATTTTGAGCTTAACCTATAAAAGTACACATGGTACACAATTTACAGCATGGTCCCTGACTCAAATACTTAATAAAAAAATATTTAATGAGATAAAATATCATATACATATATTTCTGATAATACAATTCTTTTTGATAGAATATCTAAGCTGCGATAAAATTCCAAGATGACTAAACAAAGTGAAATACTTGTGACCCTTTGTCTTTGTCTGTGAAATATAAGAGGCGTAAGGTAATATCCCTTTTTTAAGCTTCTTTCGTTGATATTTTCATAGGCAAGATCCGCTTTCTGTGTCATAAAATGCAGGTCCGAAATATTACGAAGCTTTGGAATAAAATCCCCTTACTGCAAATTAATACTTAACTATTTTTATTCTCCGAAGTCCGAACGTTTTGAGTCAACTTTGTGTTAACGTTGTGTTACTTCCGAAAATGTTACCAAATTAAGTCTGTAAAGATCATTGCTCCAATTTTTTACAACAAATGGGTCAACATTGCATTTAGGTTTCCGATATCTGTATAGCCTGGAGACATTGTAAACTAGCAACTTTATGACATTATACATCTTAATATATATATTTCTTGTGTGCGTGTGTATGTGACTGAACTTCTCTCAAACGACTGGACCGATTTTGATGAAATTTTTTGTGTGTGTTCAAGGGGATCTGGGAATGGTTTAGATTCACAAATCAGCCCGGCAGATGGCACTGCAGTCGGTACTTTCATACTTTGCTTAATATCCTAATCGCTTTAAATATCATGCAGGACAACGTCTGTGGGCTCCACTAGTATTAATGTATATTCACAATTTAATTCTTGTAATCTGAATTGTATTTATTAACATGTATTCCCAGAGCAATCTAATTTTTTTTATGTAATAGGAGGCAAACGGGCAGGAGGCTCATCTGATGTTAAGTAATACCACCGACCATGGGTGGCTGAAATTCAAACGCACTTGAGAATCGCATTCTTAATAATATAGATTGATTGAATTGGAGAAAACTTCTAAGGGATAATAGGTTTCCTAGAATCAGCTTTTAGAATATAATAAACAATCAATATGAACTGATATGATTTAGAATTTAATAAACTTTTAACATTTGTATGCTATTTTATTGACGAATCTTTCAATCGTTCTTAAAAATGAATGAAAATCATTCATATCACAAAAAGCTTCTGAATGTTATGTCCTTATAAACGTGACAAAATATCTATCTTAAATTAGTTAAATACATCATTTCTAAATAGTAAATCTGTTATGTAACATTCTGATTAATATGTATGATCTATAATTGTCGTGATTCATGTGCACTTTTTATTTTTCATGTGTCCTTTTTTAGTTTAGTTATTTTTTGTTCCTGTGGTAGTTTTGTGTAAATAACTATATGTATTATGTATTTTGCACTTCTTGCTTACCTTATCTAATTTTTTTTTTCAACAGTGGTTGCCTGGAAGAGATCGCTCGAAAGCGATAAGGCCGCCAGTTGCCCTCCTTTTCATTTAATTTTGTCAATTTTATTATGTTATTGCAACGAAGTATTTATAAATAAATAAATATGTATGAAACTTTTTTAGTAAAAAAATCAAAGACGACCGTTTATAATTGTGATTGAAGTAAGAGAATCGGTGACTTCACGATGACTATTAAATCAGATGGAAAGCAATAGTATGGATACCCATTTATAAATTAAGTACTGAACGTCCATGCCATATTTATTGTATATGGGTCAATGCTCTTTTGTCTTATTATATGCTCCATTTAAATATTTTAATTAAATTCAATAACAATTGCCTTGGATTTTTCTCTCCTTCTTGTTGTTTTTTTTTCAAAATTTCTTCATGATCGTTGCTGGTTTGAGTCTCGAATTACATTTTCTAATAACGATGTATAATATATAAAGAACTTCATAAACTCACACACATGTTATGTTTCATACGAAACTTTTATTTCTAATGGCACAACATATTTACAATACTCACCATTTTAACCAATCAATTCAATAATTGAAAGTAAAAGTCTTATCAATAGATTTCTTTCATCGTCCATACCGAAGAGAATCATTTTATAAACAGTATAAATAATACTAGTTAAAGCAACGATGACAGTTTCACTCGTGCGCCTGAGCCGATCTCGCGTATTTATAAATAATACTACAGTTATGATACTATGAACATTTTCTCATATCAACATGTCGCTGATCAAATTCATCCTACTCGTTTTGATACCTAGTTGCTACACGCTTAGCATTGGAGTGAGTGATAAAAATGTGACGAAACGTACGGCCAATCATGATTTATTTCCAGACTGGGTCCCATTTAAAAACAAGCATGGAGTAGACCTAGGAGACTTTGAGCCTGTAATCAAAAAACCAAAGAAACGACTCGCAACGCCACTCAACTTCGTACTAAAAGCTGTTGCTGAACCAGATGGCGATTATTACTTTGATAAAAGCCAAGGTGAAAGCGATAATGAAGACTATTTTGAAAGAAAAGAGTGGTCGGATTTACATAGACCCGCAGAACACGTTGACCCAAATTATGTTGTGACTCATAATGCATCTGATATAGATGGTATCGTAAATATTATTACTAAGCCTATTGATGACCCTGTACTCAAACATTTACTAAAAAAAAACAAAGAACGGAAAGCTGAAAAAGAAAAAGAAAAGGACGCTGCATATCAAGATGAAAACAAAGACGAAGAAAATTTAGAAACAAAGACTGAAAATGAAAACATTATGCCATCAGATGAAGAGGCGAAAACGGAAAAAAGACCTAGACGGTATGAAGACGATGTGGAGTATGACGAAGGGAGTGATGAAAAGCAAAAGCCTGAGATAGTGGAAAGAACTCAAAAAACAGAACTTAGCGAAGAAGAGAAGCGTGAAAATGAAGAAAAGAAAGCCAGAATTTTAAGCAGCGTTGATGAATTGAAACATAGGCATGTAAAAGAACAACGAGAAATATCTGAAAAGCTGAAGGAGGAGGAATTATTTAAGGAAGATTTTGAAAGAGACAAATTAGACTCAAGTGAAGAACATGATAAATATAATCGAGGTTCAAGGTGGAAAAAACCTGAATATGATGAATATGATGACGGTGAAGTGTCATTGCACGACAAATACAAAATAAATACAATGAAATCTATCACTAGAACAACGCAAGCGCCTAAAAAATCTCGACAACGCAAATCAAAAAAAGAAAAAAGTATAATTAACGGAAAACTGTCCGTATTTAGAAACCCACAACTATACATGATCAACGATGAAGAAGACACCACTACATCAAATCCAAAGCCCACACAATCTGAAAAATATTCATCAAAATACTCGGCGGATGATGACAGTATTAGAATATCCTTGGTTCCTTCAGATGATGACTCTAAAGATGGAGAACCAACTCGTTTTTATCCAAAGAAACGGAAAAATAAACGTAAAAAGACAACAACTCCAACCGAGGGGACAACAGAAGTTGGAACTGTTAAAACTACTGAACTTGATACGACAGCTTCTGACACAGACTTGTCTGCTTCAAATACAGCACCATCAGCCGCTGATACCGTGCCGACAGCTTTTGATACTGCACCATCAGCCATTGGAACTTCCGCTTCAGACAATACAGCATCGGACGCAACAGCAGCTGATACTAACGAGGAAACACACGCCGCTATTAAGAAAGAAAAGAAGCATGAAAATTTTAAGCACGAGAAAGGTAAGATCATTATAGACACTGATTATTAAACACCTAAAAAATTAAGGTAAAATTTAGGACTACAGGCCAATTTTAAGTGCGATTGCAATTGATATGAGGTGAATATTTTTGAAGATCATTTTTGCAAAAATACAGTCAGTAATTTTGTTTTTCGATACAGTATTATAAGTGTGACCTTTATCTACGTCTATATAGACCCAACATAATTTTGAGTTCTAAGAGAGGAGATAAGACATTTATAGATCATATATACCCACATGTAATCAACTGTAAATTGAAGCGGTCTACCGTATAATACTAAAGTCCATCTAGTTTGCATACTATCACATATTTTGGTGTAATGGCCACTGCCAAATATAATGAAGGTAGGACATACAGAGCAATAGAACATATATAATGTGTATTTTACGTCTAAATGTGGGTACACGATACAATATCGTCAACGTGTTATTAAAAACGACAAGCCTTTAGATAATGTGAATAGAAAATGTGTCTCTTCGCCATGTAAGCATACTTTATAAGATGGAACTATTCAATTTAACCTTTATTCAAGCTATATTAATATACAAAAATTCCAATAAACGTTAAATTTTCATAAATGTATATTAAAGTACAAATATAATACTTCTAGTCTGATCACGAAGCATGTATTTATAAAATTAATCTATTTTCCATCAAAATACCTAGTTTCTAATAAGAGATGGGTCAGAGTGATACAAGGAATTATTCTACTTGTTTGGGATCACACTCGAACGATTCCTTTTATCTCTGAAACTTATGAAATATTGGGGACGTATTGTATGTAGTTTTTAACTTTTTATGAAAATATCTACGTTATTTCGTTGCTAGTTTTTTACCATTTCAGTTTCATTTTTGCACACCATTATAATAATTAAATAGGCTTGATCACGCCTATTTGATTTAATACAGGTTTGATTAATTTATGTGAATCATTTCCTGAAATATATGTTTTTATTGTTCACTGTAATTTTGTGAAGGCGTAACAAAGTTACGAATTATTGACAAGAGTCATAACTTCTGTAAGTCTTAAAATGATTAATTCAATTGAAGTATGATCAAACTAAAAAACTTTCATACAGTTATAATAATTGTGCATGCATGCGGTTTATATATATTTTAGGAAGGAGTAGGTTCACTATAGTTTTACGTAAAATGTCTGTAATATAGGGATTATTGTTGAAGAGGTTGCAAAACTGCTTTTATAACACCTATACGAAATACACGCAACAATAATATACTTGCTTTTTTTTTTTTTTGTTGCATCTGCTATCCAGCAATAAGCCACTTGTTTGTTTGATTTTACTCAGTTCATGTTATCCTCAAGAGCCATACTCGACATAGAGCCACGACTCTCTTGATGTTAAGAGGTAAATCTTTTATATAGGCTCGGTACGTCCCTTCTTTTTAGCCGCTTATGCTGAAGACCGCCTTCTCCGCTCAGAGCGTGTGCCAGTTTATTTACATGGGAGGTCAGCTTCTCCTGGTATTTCAGGCTGTTTTTGGCTCAAAACAGCCTGAAATACCAGGAGAAGCTGACCTCCCAATATACTTGCTTATATTTATATATGTGTCACAACTCAACCGAGCCACCAGCAGCACATTGACATCACCTTTTATTATTGAATCTTGAGCAAAATCAAATATTGCAAATTACACGTTGACCAACGATCACTGAAGCGATACATAGACGAAAAGCCTGCAAAAAGTCTGTGTAAAATTCGGCTTTAATGTTCGATAAGTCAATGACCGAAAAATTACACCACAGCAGTAGTATCAGTGAACTTCATAATTAGTTTTGTACATTTTGCCTCAAACGTGCAGTTTCGTCAATAAAAGACGAATTATAAGATATAAAGAAATAAGTATCCTAAATACCGTGGCAAATTTGAATTGCAATAAAAATAAATATTTACTTTTCATATAAGTTTTTATTTTTTGGCTAATTTGTTGACAGCGTATTAAATGGGCATAAAGATAATGTCCAAAGTGCATATTTCTCGTATTTTAGCCATATTTTTTGGATTTGATATAACTCTAAAAATGCTCTTTTGAGTAAATATATACAAAATAACTATAGGTATATTACGTACTGAATAATTACATACCGATATCATGCAATAAAAATCTGTAGACAGTACATCATTCTATCCATACAATTTTATAAGCGTTAGAAAGTGTTTTGTTCAAGGTAATAAGGAAAAAACAAATGAATGCATATATTTTTACCGCAATGGTTCTTTTTTCGTGCCCATTCTAAATAGATGTCATGGTCTGCTATCGAACATATTATTACACCACGAGACCAGACTATTATATTATGTTAATGAATAAGAGGGGAGAGACTTCGCCATACTAGGGGCAGGGATAAATTCGATTCCGTATTAGATTCAGTGCCACGCTTCAAAAAGTCTAGAAACTTTTCACCGAGGTAGGTTTTATTAGCCAATATTATGCGTTTATATAACCTTCTTTCTAATGCAACAGTAAATAATTTGATGTAATTTGTAAATAAAAAGTGGTGTTAGAGTAAAGTCAATTAGTTTTTCTTTGTACAACCTGTTCGGTGTTACAAATGTTAGACAATTATACCCAACCTACCAAGTAAGTGTTATAGGAACAGTTTGGGCCTTGGTAAGCCCACAGGGCGTGTGTTTGGATCACGGCTGTGCGCGCTAACGGATTGTTTTTTAAATGCGCTATATTACAAAAGATTTCGTATCTGTATCTTTTTAAAGATAATTAAAAAGTAATATTTATTAAAAAGAAACAGAAACGAATACAATACAAAAGTTGTAATTCCATTGGTTTTAGTTATTATCTTTATATTTGAAATGTTTAGGAAAAACACATTTAAAAAGCGACTTGGTACACTTTTGGAAACACATTACTATTTAATAAATGATTATATGCGTGAGACACTGTAGTTGATATAAATTTAATAACGTATGATATGATATGTACGATACAAATAATATAAGAATTGACCAATTCATATGACTAATAATGTAAAATTCATTTAAAGACAAATTTGCGCGCCATTGTGTGTGGCAGAATATGCGAACTTACGATTGTACCACCTTACACATTTTTGTACGATATTCTTGCAAAAAGTAAATTATTATTATTATTATAATGGTAGATTTACATTAAACTAATAATACAAGAAGGTGGCATGACTACAATGGGTGTCAAATTAAATGTTACGCCTGTATTAGGCAGAGGTTAAATTTGAAAGTGTAACAATAATGGAAAGTATAAATTTTTCATCTGACCTCGTAAACATCGAAGCATAATACCGCATAGAAAACTAAATTTACCGTAGCCTATTGGGGGTCACCATTTTAATAGGAAATTAAAAGTATTATCAGTGGAGCGATTGCACTAAAACTCAAACTCAAAATAACTTTATTGATATAGGTAAACAAGTACACTTATGAACGTTAACAGAAAAGATGTTAAATTGATTCTAAATTTACATTTACTACCAGTTCGCAAGTCAAGGGGGTAGAGCGGGCAAAAAGAACTGGCAAGAAACTTTCCGCCACTCTTTTTAATCGCCAAGTTTTGAGTAATACAAATTGTTTGAACAGGAGCAAATCAATCCTAAGGATTATGATCATATAAATATTTGTCAAATTTATAAAAAGCTTTATAAAGTAATCACTGGTGAGATTATTCACTTTTAATTCCTGGTTTTCATATAAGAATTGGTCGATTCGTTTTCCACAAATATTAGTAAAGATTTTTACTTACATTTATCATGTAGAAGCAATAAAAAATGTATGCTCATTGTATTTTTACAATTTTAAACGTTTATATTATAAAATGTATTTAGTCACTAAACCTACTAATATTATAAACGCAAAAGTTTGTAAGTATGGATGGATGTTTGTTAATCTTTTACGTAAAAACAATTGAATGGATTTTAATGAAACTTTACAATAATATAGCTTATACATCAGAACAACACATAGGCTAAAATTTTAAAGATATCGTGCGAGTTGTCTAAACTATCAAATAAGTAGGAAAAAATCTACCATCTGCGAGCTATTCTGGCGTGCGCTGCCAAAACCGCAAGAGTTACACTTAATGTATAATGGAAATGTTTTTCTTAAATAGTCCTATAAAAATGGCCCCCACAGTATACCTGTAAAATAGAAATCTATAACAACGATAAAAATGGATAATTTATTCAAATGCACTTTTGGTAGTAATAAATTGATTCTTAAATAAAAATATATACTGGTAATTAAAGTAGATAAAATATACCTTTCACGTTACGTTATTTGGACAAATATTATTTTAATCCTGCGCAGACAAAGTCGCGGAGGATATATGTTAAGTATAAAATGGCTATTAATAATTTATTGTTTTAGGTGGAGGACGAGAACATGAATCGGAAAGCTTTGAAGAGCACGAGGAAGAAGGGAAGAAGTCCTATGAGGTAAGAATTTATTGTATCCATCTGGTATTAAAAAAAATCTATATCTCTATCTATCTATCTATCTACGATCTATCATCTATCGTTTGGCTCATCTTATAGTGTCCCCAACAAGATAAGCCAAACGTGCAAAGAACATACCATATTAAAATTTATTTTCTTTTTTTTTCGATAAAACGCACTATATCGTTTATTAAAACCTAACCAAAATTAAAACAAATTTAAAAAGTGTGGTCCCTGTGGCAGGCCTTTAACGCTGGCAGCATTTCCTCACTGTATTGCGATGCTTATTCGTTGAGCGAGGAAAGCACCAGCTATCTACCACCGGTCACCGGTACTATCCACCGGGCGCCAACTTAAATCTAAACTAATTAAATTCGCCTGTGCACTACCCACAGCAATACCCCACCTTATTATTATATTATAACTAACATAAAAAATAATTAAAAACTCTTACATGAACTATAGAAACTCATTAAACAAGTGTAGCTCGCTTTGTAAATACTCGTTGCAAATAAATGTTCTAGACAGCCCACTCATTTAATTACAGTAAGAGATAGGCATACAGGTTTCTTTTTTTTTCTTTTTTTTTAATGGCTCAGGCACGATTTGTGCATTAGCCAGCGTCGAGTATAGGATTTTTTTATAATTCGTGCTTGCCTTTTTGAAATTCGACCGTGTCCTCCATGTACGGTTTAAGCACTCGCCCGGTACCGCACAACCCTCCCAAAAGCCGAGAACAAATTTAAATTAAATTAAAACTTGCCCTCGAACCGGGAATCGAACCCGGTACCCCTCACCTACCTGCCACTTAATAAGACCGCTAGGCTATGAGGCCCCTACATGTTGCTCTCTTTTGACTCACACATTGACAAGAATACATGTACACACCTCCGCTGGTTCTGCGACCCAAAGCGTATTTTAGTTAAATAATTGCAATTAGGTTGTTTTAGTTCATGTAAGTAGTTTTTGAAAGTCCAGTGTTAATGTAGGCTTAAGAAAATTTTATTAGGAAAATTTTCCAAGTTGACAGGCAAAGTTTAAGTGTGACTAAAATAACTCACAAACAATGTACTGAAAAAATTGATATTTCATACGAAAATGTTTGCTTTTACGCCGCCGCTCGTCGTAAAGCCGGAGTGATCGGTGTCGAGTTTTATTGGTGATAGAATATTAAATTTTGAGTGTGTAAATACGTAATCGATACAATATTAATTTACACGAACAAACTTTTTTGAATAACGTGATGATATAAGATGTCTGCTATTTTAAGAAACGTGTCTTATCGTGCTGACCATAGCTGTTCTAATATATTATTTGATATTGATTAAATGAAGAACCGGCTAACTAACTCTCCGCCACTCTTTTTAATCGCCAAGTTTTTTGTTTTACACAACGTTTGTAAGGAACAGCAACCATTACACCATGACATCTTAAGTAATAAACAATAATAAAATAAATTAAAAACAAAGATCTGTCATCTACCAGCATGCAGCAGGCATGGTCAAATAGAAGCACGCACTTACATTCTCGTGGGAAGAACACGCAAATACATAGTCGAAATAACTAACATCACCACATACACGAATTCAGGTACGACCAGTCGCCACAAGTAACACCCGTTCACGAGTATGACGCATGGCCAGCCATCGGCCCTCTCGCCATATTTTAGGGAGAGTACTAAGATAATGTATATATTTCTTCTATATCTATATATGTAAAAATGAATCTCTATTTCTATCACGCGTGAACGGCTGGACCGATTTCGCTCATTCTTTTTTTGTTGTGTTTGTTATTGTCCGGAGAAGGTTTTTATGAAAGAACAAATTAAGAAAATTGCGCGAAAAAAATAGAAAATTTAAGAATACTTAACCACTATATTAAGTAATCCTGACTTTTGTTACGATAGCAAATTTTTTTCAGTGCATAGCGCTTTAACAATTCAAAATTTTTTGATGTAACCTATTGGCGTTTGATATAACATTGACAGAATGCGTGCTGCAAATATCGTCAAAGAGGATGTAAGAAAAATGAATACTTATCGTTTAAAACAAATGCTTCGATCGGAGTTATTATATTTATAAAATACATCTGTTCCCGTGTCGGAATACCAACGAAACTATTTATATACGCGCCAGAAAAACAAACAAAGAATGTTGTATATCCTAAAGCATTAGAATAATTAACACTTTGTTTCTGAAATATTTTTTTAGTTAATTATACCAAATCAATATTCATAGTTAAGACAGGACTATTATTAATATTTTTTCTCATTTTTTGAGTTTGTTTTTCGACAAAACATTGATGATCAAAAACAAGTTAGGTCTAGATGATACTTGAGTATAAAAACCATATTATTTTTTATATAAACGTCATAATATATAAATCTTACCTTTATATAGTAGACCATATAAAGGCAGAGTAATACGATATTTCCAATAGTTAAAATTTACTGTTAGAAGCACGGCACGCATCCCCAAAGATCATGCAATATAGTAAAAATAATTCAAAATTGGCCTATTTTTAGAGGAAAATACTGTAATGATGTACGTTCCCTTCCTCATACAAGACGTAATAAGTCCCCCCTGCAGCGTCTCCCAGTTTTATGATTTAGTATCATTATTTATGGGGAAAATCAATAGCTCATAACCGCATGGGTACAAACTAATTTGTAAGAGATTTGTTTTGTTACTATGGCGAATATTTTTAATATTTCACAAAAGCAAAAGCGGTAAGTTTCGATTGGACATAATATGCTTAATTAAGAAGATTCAAAGACCATCTTAAGGTTTAAAATGGACAGCTGTAATAGGTTCTAGCTGAAAATTTGTGTTTCGTCTTTTGTACTATACGTCCTTTAGAAAAATCTACCCATTATTTGTAACTAATTAAGTAACTAGCCTACATAATACCAAAGTGAATTTTTCTTTAAAGTTGGTTGATTTATCAGTAAATTTATATACATATACTGAAACTTTGTCCGCCTGAAATTCGCACCCATATTAAACAAATACGTTAGAACTTATTTAATGTAAGTTGTATTATTCAAAAAGTAGTGTTGGCATAGTGGTTCCAGCGGGTGACTCTCATCCCTGAGGTCTTAGCTTCGATACCCGGCTGTGTACCAATGGACTTACTTTCTATGTGCGCATTTAACATTCGCTCGAACGGTTAAAACATCGTGAGAAAACCGGCTTGCCTTAGACGCGTAAAGTCGTCAGCGTGTGTCAGGCACAGGAGGCTGTTCACTTACTTGCCTATTAGATTAACAAATGATCAAGAAACAGATACACAATTCTGAAGCCCAGACCTAAAAAGGTTGAAGCGCCACTGATTTATTTATTTTATTACATAAAAATGTAAAAAGTCATAAGCGTAACTCATAACATACTCCTAAAACAAAATACAATACGGAAATATCTAAATATCGTAGAGCGGTGTCGTATATCAACACGTTAATCAGACAGATTATGATGCGTCCAGCGAACGCGGCAATGTCATTACGCGCCGTAACATATTAAAGCAATTTGAGTGATACCAACCGACTATTTAGGGCTTTGGTCAATTTTACTTCTAATAGTGCTGATACAAGATATTTTATGACACAACTGTAGTGTAATAAATATGTTTTGGGTGGGGATTTTAGCACTCCCTAACAAAAACCCGTTGGACAGCCAATTTCGATAGTTTTTTCAATATGATGCCGAAAACTGAGAATTCTTCGTCGCCTTTTGGATCTCTTTGCTTAATATTGAAATGGATATCTATCGTTATTGGACAAACAAGTTGTGCTTTGCGAATATTTTGTGGAAACATTTATATTTTCCTTTTAAAAAATATTAGCAGTATTAGAATACAAAACTAAACTATGGTGGGTTTCGCTTAGTTGTGATTCGTCAAATGGTGCAGTTGCGTGTGGCGTTGTTGTTAACCAATCGCAAACAAACAGTGGAACTGACGAAAAATATTATTAATACATATATACAGTATTTACAATATTCTTAGCCTAAATACTAATAATAATAATAATAACATAAATTAAACAAATTTAAAATGTTTGGTCCCTATGGCAGTGTACCTTTAACGCTGGCAGCATTTTCTTGCTGTATTGCTATACTTATGCGTTGAGCGAGGAAAGCACCAGCTCTGGGGACACCAGTACTATCTAACAGAGATTAATTTTATTTAAAACGCTTTTTTTTCCTTAGTATTCTACTGCCCGTTGTAAAGTTTAGTAAATCACAATATTATGATAAACTTTGTTGGAAAATACTTGCAAATTAACACTCTATGTAGTATCAGTTCGTGAAATAATTATATATTTTTTTCAAGAGAAAAAAGAATATTGAAGTGTGGCAACCTGCGAACAATACACCGTTGGAATATTTTTATAAACTTTTGAGAATAAAACCATGGTTTGATTCTGTAAGTTAAATGTGCATGGTTAAAAGCGACATCGAATAATGTGCTTATAAATATAAACTTTTGAAAAATAATTTTAAGGAAATTTTCACTATAATATCATACCTATTGAAATTTTACCTGTGCTACCACGTGTGACTCACCTTTGTGGCTGTATGCACTTTAAATATGTGAATGCATTTACTACACTACACTGGCTATTAGAAATAATTAGTTCATAAATCCTTTAAGTATTATTTAATTTTTTATAGACGTTTAATCGATGTCTGCTTTACATAGCCATATGTGATAACAATCAAGAATTAAACAATCTATTAATACCTAGCACTGGTAGTTGTTTAAAAAATTTGTATAATATTTTCAAATTCATTAACCCATTGAATAGACAGTGTATGTGATTAAATAAGCAGTCTTTGGCATTGTTTAAAATATTATGTATAACAACGACAATAATGATTTTTCTTACAACCAATGCACAGAGCATGGTCTAGAGTAAGAGGTACTTATTTTAATTTAAAATGCGTTTCCGAGTCAAAGATTCAGCCCTCTCAATGCACGCAGAAATGTATGATCCATTCCCCATTGTGGGGTTCCTGGGTTTCTGCTATATTTATTAGTTTACTTACACTTCGTTGCAAGAAATACAGTACAATAAAATAATTAAATAAAATGAATGAAGGAATCGCTTTCAGGCAACCACTGTAAGGACTTTTTAAAAATTAAATTGAGAGGTGACAAAAAGTGTAAAACAACATAAGATTTACAATTACTTCGACATAAATAATGGAACAAAGCAAAGCAATTAAAACATATATATAGACAATGAAAAGGACACTAAAAAAATGACGATAAATTTCAGTTAAAACAGTTTATTTATTTTGTTATTAAGCTTACGACATCACACACAGTACTAAATCTACTAATTATTTTACAAAATCTTACATCTATAATGTGTGACAATTAAAGTAAACATAAGTTTCACAAAAAAAATAGAAATTAAACTTTAAAATTTAAAATTAAAAAATACAATTTAAACATATATACAAGATAATATAAGCACACAATAAAATAAAATTATAGAAATTTGTTGGCACTTAAAGCAGAAAGCTTTAAAGAAAATCATCAGCAAAACAGCGAATTAGGTTCGAGAAAGGCACCCCACAATGCTTTTTCTAAAACCGATCAGCCCACTGCCGAATATATCCAGCTCCGGATAAGCTGTGTTCAATCCGTTATAATCGCGAAGAATTCGAACGAGAGGTGCCTGAACTCCTAGGTTGGTTTTGGCAGAAGGAATTTAGAAAATATTGTGGATTTTAAACCTAGGGAATGAGTAAGGGACGACAATTTTAATATCCTGTAAGAGGTCACTGCTCTGTATATGATTATTGAGCAATTTATGCAAGAAGGTAACAGTTAGTAGGAAACTAAGGCATACGATGTCAAAAGGTAATACTTGTATAGTGGAGATTTAAAGGAAGATAGAGAAGGAGCTAAGCGGATAGGGACATGAAGTAAAGACATCGCCTCACTATGATACCTTAAAGGATTCGCCAGGAACAAGTTATCTGATGGTATTTCAAAGTTATATTTTTCTGAAGAGCTTAGGCTAGAGCCATACCACAAGAGAAAGACTTAAACAAAAGATGTATTTTGTTTTAATCTTTGAGATTAAGCAAATCTATTGTCTTTGTCTCAGACAATTGATTAAATCTTCTGATCTAATTGGCTATTGTTTCGTGTTGTTGTGACTTCGCTATAGTAGTTTAGATCATCTAAATGTATAAAAACTTTTAACAATAGGTATTAAATAATAACGAGCCGTCTGGATAACATCAATAATAAACATATACAGTTTTATATTTTTTTTAAAAAAGGCAATTAAAATACTGTATATACTTCATGTAAAGTTTTGGTCCTAATTAATGCAAATTTATTATTATATATTAAAACTAGTGACCAAATGTGTACATAAAAATAAGTATTTTATAATTCTTCAGTGGGAGTGGTAATAATAATAGTGCTAAACATTGTTTGCAAAAGAACATTTTCCAAACCTAATGCCGTAACACCGGTTTTGGAATCCCAACAATTTTATATTATACGATATATATAAATAATAATCCCATTATTTAGGCTATCTACATTACAATGTACATTACAATACACATTTTTTGTTGATATGATAAAAATGAATATATTTCAGAGTGAAACTCTAAAAATCCTAATCACATACTTAGCCGTAAATAAAAATCGTATTTGCTGTGAGCTAATAGATTTCACGATAGTTCAATACATAACTCCCCAAATGTCCTGTTTTGTCCTATTTCTTTCTTCAGAAACACGATATGAAGATGCTTTGAATAATTAGCATTGTATTTGTAGATAAACAAAACAGAGTAACGAAAATAACTAATTAAGATATTTTCCGATCAATTCATTATTCAAAAAATATTATTAAAATTCAATGGATAATAAAAAAATATACTTCTCCTTTGTATCCATTTTCATTTGTATAAATTATAAGTATTTTCTACTACGAGTTCTCACAGCTATAATCGTTTCTTATAATTATTTTAAAAAAAAGGTGTTGGCGTCGCAAAATAGTCCAAAAATATTTCAAATAGACTTAAAAATGTATAATTTTAATAGTTGATTTATTAGTCAATTCAAGCTAAAAGTGCTTTGCAATGCGTATTAAACTAAAAATACAAATGTCTCTAATCGATTCCTATATTCTAACTGTATAATAATACTAAGTTAATTATTAACTTTTACATCTAGTTTCAGTAATGACTTACTTGTTATAAACTCTTTAATCTTGTTATAGACTTGACCTGTATTCATAAAACAAAATAAGGTTTGAGGCATAAATAAGTTCTGCAAAATTGTGTTTACTCTGGAATTAATGAAAGATTATTTTGAATAATGTAAATAAAACGGTTTATGTTTTTGTTTATAATTAAACTGTGTAAATAAACTTTAACTGTTAGTAATCAGATAATAATCTATTTGTTGTATATTTCACCCGATGATTGGTGTTCTCTTTCAGAGTAATTTAAAGAATCCTACTGTAGCTAATAATTTAACAAGTAGTTTCTGCCTTGTTAATAATAATAAATCGTTTATTTGCTACATTCAGATTGATTAATTATAAAAAATTTTATTGTTGTACATCTTTAAATTTTGTTATCTATGTACAGAGCATCTAAATCATATTTTTTATATATTTATCATGTAATCTGTCAGGGCCACCACGATGACACGAAGACCAGCAAGGGCCACCACGACAAGGAAGATCATCTCAAGAAATACAAGGATGAAGGAGGCGTGGACAAGAGCCACCATGATGAGAAGGAGCATTATGGAGACCACCATCACGAGGAACATGGAAAGAAACATGCTAAAGTATGATTTCCTTTTTTTTTAAATCTCTTATTCAATTCACTTGAGCAGACCTTGACGATCATGTACCGCCAAGGGATCTATGGCAGTGGATAAATGGGCAGTTAAATGGACATACAAATGTCTGCCTTCTGCATCTACACAGGTGTAATAATGAAATAATTTTTAAACGTACCATGGTACCTTAGTTTAATCGACAGTAATATTCGATATTTGTAATGTTTAGTAATTACTCGATTAGCAGCAGTTTTGGCCTAGTGGCTTCAGCGTGCGACTCTCATACTTGAGGTCGTAGGTTCGATCCCCGGCTGTGCACCAATGGACTTTCTTTCAATGTGCGCATTTGCTCGAACGGTGAAGGAAAACATCGTGAGGAAACCCACATGTCTTAGACCCAAAAAGTCGACGGCGTGTGTGTGGCACTGAAGGCTGATCACCTACTTGCCTATTAGATTTAAAAATGATCATGAAACAGATTCAGATATCTGAGGCCAAGACCTAAAGAGGTTGTAGCGCCACTGATTTATGTTTTAATTACTCGATTAAGTACATTACCAAATAATGTTAACTGAATTATGTTTCTATCACAGTATGAAGAATCAGGCAAGCATTCCAAAGGACATAGCACAAAAGGTAGTCACGACATTCATAAAAAAGATGAGTATGAGAAACGAGTAGAGTTCTTCGAAGAGGATGGTGATTCTGCTGAAGAAGAGAAATACGGAGGACATCATAGTGAAAATGAACACTCAGCGGTATGTTTCTACATATTTTAATTTATATATTTTTTAATGAAATAGGAGGCAAACGGGCCGGAGGCTCACCTGATGTTAAGTGACACAGCAGCCCATGGACACTCACACTGCCCGAATGCTCGCAAGTGCATTGCCCGCCTTTTAAGAATTGGTACGGTCTTTTTTTGATGGACACTAAGTCGAAATGGTTCGGAAATACTTAAATGGGCAGCTGGTCCCCATAGTGGTGGTGGCACGGCAAAAACTGCCTTAAAAAACGCTCAGCTGTAGAAGGACGGACGCCGAGGTGATACGGATGGGATTCTGCCTTGACGTCCGATAGTTTAATTTAGCTGCAGGTATTAGTCGGAACAGCTCCTCTCCTCCTCTCCATGGTAAATGCGGTAGAAGAAGCAAAGAGATCCCACATCTCTACGCAACGCCAAGGGATCAAGCCGCACCAAAAGTGACTGGTCTTGACGATTCGAATCGCTCTTCGTTGAATACGGTCAAGCGGAATGAGCTCAAAATCGTTACATTATAACTGGCAGTTTCGAGTGGTATATCTATAATCGTTGGTAACTCGGTCAGAACGTGTCCTGTAAACAAGGGTCTGAATTCCGGTTTAATTCTATTGAAAAAGATTAGTGTTTAATTTATTTTTATTTATTTATTAACACTTCGTTGCATATACATTAATATAGTACAATTGACATATTTAAATAAAAAGGAGAGCAATTTTAATTGCCACTGAGCATTTGATTCCATTTCAGTAAACCCTAATGTTGTGCGTATGAATTGAAGACTATAATTTGTGTATGACGAAAGTGAATAATGAACAAAAAACAGTAATTTTATTACAGACCTTCAACTTATTGCAAAGAAAAATCAATTAAAGTCAAATGTTTACAGTTACGGATCACTTGTTGATCTTGTCAGTGAAGCGAAAAGATTTCCATATTTCGGTCATGGTTCGTGACTAAAACAGGCTGATGTTTCGAAGACTCTTACAAAACGTTTACTTAAATATCTCATTGTGCGCTAATGAAAAAAGATATCTTATGTCTATTGTCGTCAAAAAAGAAATATACATTAAATGCTTCTAATTTTACATTTACTGCCAGTTCTCAAATCAAGGGCGTAGAACGAAAGAGAAGAATTAGCAATAAACTCTCCGCCACTCTTTATAATTTTACACAACGTTTGTAAGGAGCTGCAACCATTAACCAACATGTTCCACATGACATCTTAAGTAATAAATAATAATACAATAAATTAAAAACATGGAGGCATGGTGAAATGCTCCTGCACTTACATTCTCGTGGGAACAACACGCAAATACATAGTCGAAATAACTAACATCACCACATACACGAATTCAAGTACGACCAGTCACCACAACTAGCACCCGTTCACGAGTATGACGCATGGCCAGCCATCGGCCCTATTGATTTTTTTTTCCAAATAATTTAAGAAATTGTTCGAGGACGACTTTCATCTTATTCAGATATATAATTTGCCACAGATAGCAATTGAATTTAACTTAAGACTTTCGTTTTATAACTTCAATAAACAAAAATGTTATTGGTAATTTTATTGTGCATTTGTAAGAACAATCAAGGTTTGTTTGATTTTTGGTTTTACTCAGTTACTACATCAGATAGTTCAGAATGAATTTAGGATAAATTATTATATCCTATGCACCTGTTAAATATAATGTAAGTCGTAATTATAATATTGGTTTTAAAATAGCGACAAAAGTTAACTCGAATCAAAATCTTTTAATGTTAACAGGTTTGTAGATATTATTAATAAAAAGCGGATGCAATTTGCATTTCTTAAGCGATTGACAAGTTAATCGATAACTATGCTTTTTATAAGTATTAAAGATTTCTATTAAGAAGTTCAAGACTAGTTGTAATTTAAACAAAATTTTGTAACACAGTTAAAGTACCAAAGATGTTTAAATTAAAATTTTCAAATAATTTTCGACATTTAGAAGCGTTACGGTTGTGCAGTATGATTAATACGTTCTGTGTCAGTATTGAATTTAAGTAATAAACACACACATACACACTCAATGTCTATTATAAGGTATAATAGGATTTTATTGTAAGTGAAATAGAACTTGTTCCAGGGTTAAGATATTTCCATTTTGGAGACTTATAACTAAATATGAATAACATTTTAATAAACGTGAACTGTGAGAATTAAATAAAAATACCTAAAAAGAATGTTAAAGAATCGGTCTCGGACAGTTTGTCAGTGGATTAATTTTTACATCAAACTAAAGAAAGTATGACGCTAAGTTATGCAAGAAGCGCGTAATTGAAGCAAAGTTATATTAAAATATGGCTGACAGAGGGCACTCGCGTCGGGGAAAACTATCAACTTAATTAAAACAAGTTTTTCTATTTATTACGTTATTAATTTACACCACAGCCCGAATGAATATTTAAGCGTAATCTTTTTAATTAGTTATTAAGGAATCTCAGGAATGTTTTGGGAGAAAAGCATCTTAGGAATGTTTTGTCAGTTTTCATCACAATTCAGTTATTTATTTATTGAAGTTTAACACATCATACATAATGCTATATCTACAGTATATGTTACAATCGATCTTGTCTGAAATATATGAGAATTATGGTTAACATTTATACAAAAAAATACAATCAAAATTAGTAGCAAAAAAGCCGATTACGCCGATAGATGATCAGCCCAGCTGTAATAAAGATAGGTGATTACGGAAGGTAATAAGTAATATAATTATTGAGTAAGTAATAACATTATTTTTTAGGGAGGCAACTTCAAGAAAACAAATTTGGACGCGGCTCACAAGGGCCGGACGAAGGGAGAGACAGGGCACTTCCTGAAGAACGGACGTCATGAGCTTCACAGGGTATATTAAAACTTTTTTCTTATATATGGAACTCATATAGGGCACGAGGATACAAATTCAGTTTAGTTTATTTCAACATGTCTTATGAATGAAATACAGACAAAAAATAGCAGAAAATTAAGTAATGCATTTTCTTCTTATTACGTTAGCATTGAGCAAACATTGAGCTGAATTACAGTAGCAATGATCTGCGGAATTATTCGTCAAAGATCACACAATATATAGCTGGGTGGTGAATTTAGTAGTGCACCGACCGCTGAATGTCTTTTAAACATGACGAAGTGTGGAATATTGGATAAAAACGTCAAATATATTATTACATTAAGATGGTGGAATGTGATCTATGCCAACTCGTTCGGTTAATTTCTTGTGTTCGGATATACAACTTGGATTAGATATATAATTTATTAATATTATTAATATTGTCTTTTATTAACATAACTTTTACACATTTAAAGAAAACACTTTTTATAACAATACATAGCTTCAATCCGTTAAAAAAGTGTTTTCTTTAAATATTATTATTATTTATTACATAAATACATACATTATCCTAACATACTATGACAATACGATAATATCGAGAAAAATAAAATAAAATAAAGTATATAATATTAAACACATAATATACACAAAATGGCTGCTGTAAATTCACTCTACGAACATATAAAAATGATAGATTTATAAATAATTAATAGTAGTTTTTTAATGGGATTTTTATGTCATATTCTAGGGTCATCGAGGTTCAGCTGGTCACAATCACCACGCCCATTCTGAAAAACAGCGTCACGCCGACGGCGAAGGGAATGGCGGTAAAAAATGGGTCTACCATCACGGCCATCCCGCGAAAACGGCTCAGCTAGTTGTCATAGATCGTCGAGGAGACTACCAACATGGACCACAATACTATGGCTAAACATTTTCTGAAAATTTATTTTCTTATCCTTAACCGATAATGAACGTCGAGTGTAAATTTTTTGTGAAATTAACGTAGAATTATTTATTGTAAATAGATAAGTGTATTGAGAACTAATTTTTGATATTTTTTTAATAAAAATTCTTGTGCGATATTAATTTTATGGATTACTTTTCTACCCTGCAACAAATATGCTGTGATTTGTGACAGACAACGCAAGGTAAGGGGTTCCGGGAGTTTTAGCGCCGGTGATAGTATCGTGCTGATGTCACCGGCTGCTCACTCTTGCTTGGTCTAGCTGAAATATATTTACATCACGGATATAAAACGCAATAGGCAAAACTCTGAAAGTTAGTATGGTTCTTGAACCTCGAATATAATATCTTAAGATTTTCGTCTACACTAAATAAAATTAATTTTAAATTGTCTTATTTATAAAACCGACATGAAACTACCTAAAGCCAATTTAAGTTGGATTGAAATACGTGCATATCATCAATCGAGCGTATATTATAAACGAAGATAAATATGATAAACGGTTATTACGATTAATTTTACAACAATAGAATTAAGAAAGAAAAAATTCCGTGGGGTTCAAGTGCACAGGCACTAATTACAGATTTAAGTTGGCGCCTGGAAGATAGAAGCCGTAACCGTAGAGGTGGTGATTTCCTCGCTTAATGAGTATCGCAATACTGTGAGAAAATGTTGCCAGCATTAAACTGCCACAGGAACCAAACTTTAAGTTTGTTTTATTTGTTTTATTTATTAGTTTGTAATAATTATTATTATTACTATGTAGGTTAAGAATATTGTAAATACTTAATATTTTGTGGAAATAAACATCATTTGATAAATCAAACTAATTAAAAATGTAAAACATATCAAAAACTATTTAGGGGCCGTTCAACTATTCCGTAAGCAGATTTACTGCAATTTACTTCCTCTTTTCAGCAATAGAAAGCAAAGCTCTCAAAAATAATTTTTAGGAATCCTCGAACATGCATTTGATTTTCAGGCATAGACAATGTGTGGCATAGATAATATGTGTAAAAAAATAAATAATTACTGTTGACGTAATCACCTAATAAGAAAATTGAAGACCCCCCTCCCTCTATAGTGTTTATGGGAGGTAATACTTGAACGGCCCCTTAGAGATTTGTTCCTTTAAAACTTTGATACGAAGCCTAACTAATATAACGAACGACGTAACACATTCAAAAACGTTAAAGTGGAAATGATTGCCCGCGATTGTGATGACAGATGGGTCAAAAAGAAAAGATGGTCCCCTACTTGGAATGACCCAGTGGGAGGAAGAAAGAGAGAACCACCATTAGAAACCTGGGAAGATGAAGTAAAATATATAGCGGAGAAAGATTGGATTGTAGCGAAGATGAGAGACATAAATGGAAAAATTTGAAGGTTGCCCTCATTACGTCGGAGGTCGTGTACTTACATTAAATATAATACCATAAACTTAAATACAGACTGGTTTTTATTATCTAAACTTCTTATGGGTAAAATTCAAGGTTCAGGCTTAGCTAGCATAACTGAGAGATAGTGCGATAGTAGAGGATACTAAAGTCAAAAGGACGTATAGGTCCCATCTACTTCCGGATTATATGAATCTATTATTTATCATTATATTCGCCATTAAAAATCAAATGATTCTTAATTTAAATTTACTACTCCTTCTGAAATCAAGTGCGTAGATCGGGCGAGTAGAAGTGATATGAAACTTGCTATTGTATATTTTAATCTTATTAACATTCTATTTAAATCTCAATCGAGTTTTAGATCAATAACAATTTTCAGAGCTTTCTTACGGAATAACTTTATTTAAATACGTAAAACGATACAGTGAAACAAATAACCTCGTTTTTGCATTTACGAGAACATGTTTTCCCAATCGTGAAATTCAGTATGCTTCTAAATAAAAAGAATGTCGCATCATATTGTGACATTCTTTGCCTATAACATTTCGTTGAAAATAAAACTTGATGAAATGTCGTGGATTATTTTGGGTTCGATGTCCATGGGGAATGCCCGAACGTGACTAAAAATATGTTAAAAAACTCCGTCAAAAATAATTTATATCTCCATAAATGAAATGTGATGCTAAAATGATCGGGAGCGTTCAAAGGCAACAGGTTGTCTCAAAGATTTTCCGTCTCCGTGACCTAGTTGGTTTATAATAAAACTTTCCTAGATTCCTAGGAAATAAAATAGTTTGGAGGACTTTAAAATCTTATGATACGCATTAATATTAGTAACAGAGCGAACTCTAAGAAAGGTTTGTAAGCGTTGACTCAGTTGGAATTACAAAACAAAACTACAACGCATCGTAAAGAAAGTTATTATCCTAAAGCCGTGGTGGAAGAAATTTTTCATTCTATGTACTCAACAAACACGTGCTCGTTGAATAAAAACATCGTTAGAAAATCCAATAATCAACAACGTGTGACAGCCAAAGAGGACTGCATCTACACTTGTTTTTAAAGAATACGTGAAACAAATGCAGGACGCCAAAAACGGTTGTAGAGGATTTTTATTATTATACGTAAAAGCCTATAATATATTCATAATTTTGTGTTCCCGACGGGACAAAGAACTTTAACATTTCAATTTCAATTGTGAATTGTCACTTAGATTCAACAATTTCCCACTACAAATGAAACTGTCGGCTTATAATGAGCAAGAAGGCCTTGTTTATTGATGTATAAATAACTAGATATGTCGAATTTTATTAGACTATAATCTTAATCATTAACAAAATCAATCCTAAACATGGTACTTAAAAATTAAAAGCCGCTTGCACGCATCATCAAATTTCACTAAAATCACAAATCCTGATTCGATGCGGAACTTGGAATATGGTATGTTATGTATATGTACATTGAAGGTACGTAAGCGTAGCACAAAAGAAAGCTTTTATCGAAGTAGGTGACTCGTACTTTCATGTATCACTAATCGGGATTTATCGGCAGCGCTTCAAAGACTTAATTCAATGATACCCCAGCCAGCTCCCTACCTAGAGCTACAGTTGAACTGAGGATACAAGGCAAAAGGCGATTATTCTGCGCCCTAAACTAGAATCCACTCACTATGGAGGAAACCCGCATAAAAACGAGCTTGTCTGGAAGCTCTAAAGTGGCAGCCCCACTACTGGACTAGGGCACAGTGGGTTAATCTCCTGCTGGCCTGAAAATCAACAACGATTCAAAAAACCGAAACAGTACTTTCCTCAAGAATAAACAATACCGAATTTTCCAGTGTTATTTACTAGCTTGTATAAATCGCAGTCGATTCTAGGGAAAACAATAATTATTGCTTTCAATACGAGACTATTAAAATATTTTAGATCCCTATTGGAGTATACTTCTTAGAAGTAGCGTAAAATTTATGTTAAATTTTTTTATTTTAAAAAGATAAAATCAAACTAAAATCATCTGTCGCTTCCAGTTCACCGTAGCATTAAACCAAAGATCTCTAAAACGGAAATGACTGGTTGATAGCTCCGGCGACATCCGCTTCGAGACGACGACACGTGGAAATTAGCTTTACTTACAAAATCTTAAGGATTTTGTGTAAGAAATCAGCCATAAGGTTTTTATACAGAACTGGACAGATGTTTTCCCCCACTATTGTTTTAACAGCTCCTTGTGGTATTGACAGATACACCGGCAATAACAGCCACTAGATCAGAAGAGCAGCCATCGATCGATTACCTCCTTCTGGTTTCTTCTATGTTTGCCATAGTCATGTTGTATGATTTGATATAAAAAAAGAGTACCGTGAGTTTTTTTACGCCGGCTTTGTCTCTCGGCCTACACCAGAGGGTGTGACTCCTTTGCCGATAAGTAGGGATGTCTACCGATAAAAATAGAGATCACCGAAATCGGTCGATAGTAGGGTCTGTACGGCTACCTTTCTTGGGCACAGGCTGCACGTTAGCAAGCTTTCAGGTTCTAAACACTGTTCCAGAACTTGAGGCAATACTAGCATGTCAGTATGGGTGGAGTTCAGGTCGTACAGTGCACACGACATTAGAGCTAAAGCCGGTATTCCATCAGGCCCACTAGTTCTGTTCACGTCCAAATTGAGTTAACAATTTAGAATATTTCCACTAAATGAATGTGGTGAATGTGAAAAATCATTACGATTTTTCTTTACCGAGTTTAATACGATAAAAAAAACAAAACAAAATTTCAAATTTAAATAATTTTATTCCCTTATACAATATAACATGCGTTCATGTATCATCTAACACGAAAAATAAGCGTCATATCACTACAAAACAACTTACATCGAAAATTTTAAATCAAAACGTGATATCAAAACATTTGAGTAGAAAAATGTGCTCTGCTCTATGGTTCACTCACACACAAACCGGCGTGACATTGATATTCCAAATTTGAAATTGACATAACCAGCAGAGCAAAGTGATACACTATGGCACGACAGATAATTATTATTATACCTTATCATTTATTAGTGAGAAAAATAACATTCGAGAAAATTCTATTAACACTTGTTTACAAAAGTACCTAGTATTACAAATACGATCACACTCTACGTGCTAATGTTCCGTCCGTCTGAGGTGGACCAGCCACGAAACGTCATACGTATAGGGTACATACTTTTAGTAAACTAAAAATAATTATTAATAATGGGACCAATTCAAAGTTAGTCACGTTAGGGGTTCGTTCTGTTCAAGTATTACGTAAGCACTTTAGGATTGGAGGGGGGGGTTTGTTACTTTGATTTTCTTTTTTGGTGATTACGTCAACAGTGATTATTTACTTTTTTACACATATTACCCACACATTGTCTATGCTTTAAAACGAAATTTTTCATTATTATGCCTACAAAAAATTAATACGTTTATGTACTATTATTTTCGAGAGCTTTGTTTACTTTTGCTGAGAAGAGGGGTGGGGGAGATAAATTGCAGTATATCTGCTTAGTAATACTTGAACCGCCCCATTCATTAAAAAAATTCTTAACATTTCTTAAATATTCCTTCCTCAGACAGAACAATGAGTTTATACAGTGAGTGTGCCACTGATCTACTCGAACTAGTGATTAGAACCTAATCACATAGAAAATAAGATCTATCACTATTACAAAATATGTGCGATTATTGTGCTAATTGTACACGAGGGCCTCTAGATGGCGCTAAAATAAAAACGCCCCGACATGCACAGATAATATACAAGCGTAAACATTGCACACTTCATAGGCCTAAATAAAAATTCGATAAATAATGGCAAGAATCATTATTAATAAAGAGTATTTTAAAGGAATCATCGTAATACTTTTGTACAAAATTAAAAATTAATGAAAATATAATCTGTATAAAAAAAATAAAATATATAATATCATAGCCATTGTGACGTTTTTGTTAGAACGTAATATCGAAGACCAGTAGTGGTAAAATATTTATCTAAATACATACGTCATAACATAAAAACATTAAGTTATAACTTTAAAAAAATAGAGAAAATTAATTATTAAAAGAGTATTTATTCGTTACCATGGTAACAATTATTTCCATGTTAAAAAATATTATGCTATGCCATTGGTATACAAAAAACCCAAGATGCACAATCAACGTCTAAAAACGTCCTCAAAAAATGAGCGCAACATTCTAAATTGTGAGCTCATTTCAAATAGTCTCGCGTCGCTCGCGTCTGGGAGCAGTTGTCAAAAATGTCAAAGTGTTCTGTGAGAAATTGTAAAAATATTACGTCAAGAAGGCTAAAAAGGATGGGATATCGTATTTTCGGTAATTAAAAAACTTTATTGATTAGTTTTTGTTGTTTTTATGACTGATTATAACAAGCAATGTGTGATTTTTATTTATTTTTCTAAAAACTTCATTCAACGCACAAACTTCTATACGGCCAACTTCAATGGCTACTTGTTCAGTGTTAGAACAACGCATTACAGTCTTCTTTTTATTTTAGTCGCATTATAAAAATGACCCTGTTCTAATAAGTGGAGTCGATGTTATTTATTTGTGTTTTTTTATTTTTAATATACTCTTAATTTATGAAAAATTTATGAGAGTGAACTTTTTTCGTGTGTACGTGACACAAAATTAGGAGCAATTATATTTAGCGTGCGAGCGAGATAGGAATAAGACAATCTACAATAAAAATAGAATATGCGTGAAGGTCAGGGGGTATGCCAAATTTTGAATGACCATATGACATTTGTCATTTACCTTAAACAAAAAACAAATAAAAGGAGTTTTTTTTTTTAAAGAAAATACAATGCTTTTTGAATTATTTAACCGGATTTAAATTGAATATTAAAACCAATACTAATTAATATTTGTGAAAAACTTGCTCATAAACCTTACTAAGTGCTTATTTAATTGAGGTTACCAATCATTTTGTATTATTATTATCGAGATTTGATTAAAAATCACCATGTTTAATCAGACCATGTAATTCTTCTCTCGCAAATTAGGACAAGAGACAAAAACAATTGATGAATCAGTGTAAGGGACTAAATTTACAAAAATTATTGTCAAATCGTTGAAACATAAAAAGAGTACAAAGCCAACTATTTTTAGACTGCCACGCAATACCTTGTCCTACCGACCACGGTCGGTCGTAAAATTTTATTGCTTTAAGTACACTGCGTTGTAATAACAACTTTAAACAATTCGCGTAAGGTTGATTTTGCAATAATATATGCTTGTAACTTATAGAAAGAGACAGAAATAGTATTTCGGGACACTTTCGAGCGTTACTTTTATTCGAGACTGTGCATCTTGGGTTTTTTGTATATCAATGTGCTATGCTAATAGAGCCAAAGAGATTTAAATCGTATGACATAATAACAAATTATAACACGCTACAATTAATAAAAAAAACATTTTAACAATTCACAATTCATAATTAGTAATCATAAATTTAAAAAGATTGCACTTACCGATAACACAAACTTTTAATGCACAGAGATTTCTGTATAATTTGAATATTACAAACATCTTTATAAAACCGACGTAAAAATTGTATTTAAACTGAGAAATATGACTGACCGTAACTTAGACTACAATAACTATGTTTATCGCAATGAACTACTTTATACAAGTCTTAACTAATCTACAGCTATGAAGATCACTGCGAATTTATACAACGGTGTAACTAAAGGCAAGATTCGGCTCAAAAAAAAACAGGAGCAAAAAAAACCTTCTAATTGTAATTTTTTTTCATATATTTATTTATTTGTATATAATGAAAGGCAAACAGACAGGAGGCTCATCTGATGTTAAATGACACGCCCACAGACTCGCATGTGCGTTGACCGGCCTTTTAAGAGTATGTACCCCAAGCCCAGCGAGGTGGCTGTTTAGGGAGTACCAAATATTTTATATTTAAAGTTAGATCGCGCAAATATTTTGGGGTGATATTGTTAAAACCTGAATTTCTAGTTGTTCCCGTCTGAAATGAGTAATAAAAAATGTATAATTAAATCACGAGTTTTTGGCAAGCACGTAAAAATGTTTCATGACAAATAGCAGGACAGTGCTCATACTTTGTAACTGGCAGAATTCAATAGAATAATTGAAAACTGATAAGTATTCTAATTCTTAGCATAGATGGCGCTTTGAAAAAACTATATCTATAAAATAACGGATCAAAAATATCGTGATATTGCCTGAGTAGGTGTCTTCGGGTCCCACCATAAAAAGGGGTGATTTGACACTCTCCCGCTTCCTAGCTTCTCGGACAGATCGGCCTGATATGCTACTGTTACGGACAACGACAACCAGATATTGGTCCAGGAAACTATCAGGGGTAGAGCAGGTAGCGGAAGGATCGGCGAGTCCCTTTACCAGCGTTTTGGGCTTTGTTTTTTCATGTAATAAATACCACCGCACATGGACACTTACATTGCCAGAAGGTAACTTTGCCGGCTTTTAAAAATTGGTACGCTCTTGTATTAATTGTATACTTTATCAGATAGACTTACGCACCGTACCGAACGGGAGTTAGTCATAAGCTTGTTTTGTCTTGTAATTTTGTTTGAGTACCACTAACGGAAAGGAAGGAGCGCTGCCGAGAAACCCGGATTAGCCAGCAGATCAAGCGACGCAAATGGAAATGGATAGGCCATTCACTTTGAAGGAATCCCAATCATATTCCCAAGCTGACGCTTGATTGGAACCCGCAAGGAAAGCGGAAGCGTGACCGTCGTACACTTGCAGATGAGGCAAAGAAGCCGGAAAGACTTTGAGCGAAATACGATGCTCAGGACTGAACGCAAAGCGATACGGACGCCTTCTGCCCCATCTAGGGGTTATAGGACATTAAGTCATGTCAAGTTATCAGAACGGAAAATTTAAAACTCCACTTCGAGTTTCATTCCGAAAGTACAATCGTAGTTCAGATCCATCGCACGCCTATACCTCCCATTTATTAAAAAAACATGGAATGTAAAAAAATAGCAGTTAAGATAAATAAGGGGTTGAAAAACAAAAATTGCCCTTTTTTTTATTGCAAATTGCGCCATCTATGCCTAGCATTAGCCCAATTACAGCTATTAATAAAAACCTAAAAGCCAATTAGGTTTTATTGGAATTGCTATTCAAGTAACACAAAATGTTTAGGTCTATACATGCCCCTAGATGCCTAGAGTTATCTATTCTCTATTTTCTAGCAGTTAAAACCTATTTAAAAAATGTAATCTCAATTAAGCCGAGATTTGTCATAAAATTAAATAAAAATATCTTACGTATTAACTCCTTCGATTATAGGTATGATGACATAAAACCTTTTTATAAAATGAAATGTTATCTTTCTTTTGCGTCTTTTACTGTTTATGATGAAAATGAACGTAATGATCACTCGCCGTAAAACCAATTTTAATGTGGAGGACCTTAATAAAATGGATTCATTCACTAACAAAAAAATGTAAAGACTTGAAATTGACAAATGTGCGAAAAAAATCAAAGTATAATTGTCATCATTCCCAATCAACGTCAACAATCTCGGGATCAATTTGATCCAATTTAGTACAATTCAGAGGAATCAATATATGTTATAAAATCTTATTATAAATTCTATTTTAGTAGAAAATTCTAAAAGAAATACTATTCCAGACAAAACTAGCACTTTTGCTGTCAATAATATATTTTTTAAACTATCGATTCCTCTGAAACTAACACTAGGTGATGATGTGTCAGATGATAAAATACGGGACTAACTCATCACAAACCTATTCCGGATCGAAGGTCCAAATTCTATTCGGTGATTACAAAAGATTGGACAAAAATTCATCAGACTTGGAACGTCTAGGTGATGAGTCTAGGCGCATGTAGGCCCAGCAGTCTTCTGGCGATGGGTGGTCGGTGGTGGGGATGATGAGCCGGTTCGTCGTCAGCTCTGGGAGCCCAGTCTTGGAGACGGCCGCCGGCCGCCAGGCGATGAGTCAAACGGTGGGCGATGGAGAAACCTCCGCTGCCTTCCAGTTGGGTCAGGACGATTATCACTTGCCTGGAATTAGTTTTCAAATGACAATTCCAGCTCATTTACTCGATATCGTCGGATAGATGTAAAAAAATCAGTGACGCAACCTTATTAGGTCTGCGCCTCAGATTGCTGTATCTGTTTCAAGATCATTTGTCAATCTAATAGGCAAGTAGGTAGCCCATGAATATGGAATAGAAATATGTAGTAATATATATATTTGTATATATTAAGAAATTTCTTAATGTATATATATGTTTGTAAAAATATATGTATAAAATAAGGTCCCGCACCACAAGAGTCGGGGATATTGGGAAATTTATATAATTAAAAAATAGGCAATAACGTGATCAGCCTCCTGTGCCTGACACACGCCGTCGACTTTTTGGCTCTACCGCAAGCCGGTTTTCCTCACGATGCTTTCCTTCACCGTTCGAGCGAATGTTAAATGCGCACCGAAATTCTATTGGGGCACAGGCGTTGATTGAACCTACGACCTCAGAGATGAGTCGCTCGCTAAAGGCCCTAGGTCAAGGCTTTTAGGGCCAGACCGAAAAAGGTTGCTGGTTTTTTTTATTGGCTATAAGGTATCGGTTATATTTTACTTTATACGAGTACATGTTTTACTGTTTACATTAGGTTGTGGTAGAACTTTGATGACTCGGCAAGATTGTTATTTCATAGTCATGATAGAAAGATAACATTTTTATCATTTTCTTTAAAGAGTTAACAATGACCTTACCTATGCAAGGGCGGTACCGAATCAATGGTCTTGAGTTCCCCTCTCGTGGAGACGACGTTGTAGCTCTCTTGACAATCACATTTCACGTGGATCCACTTGTCGGTATGTCTATTTTCCACCATCACCACGAGACCCGCCCAACCCTGAAATACCATATATTTTCATATAATCTTCTTTTACAACAACATATAATACGTGATAAAAAATACTTACTGAGCCATAAACTACAAAAAAAGCAACGATTTCAATAAAAATATGTCAGAGAGATATATCGTCAGTCCATCAGTATGGACATGTCTATGAGACACGAATAATTATCGTACAATATTTAATTTAGATTGATTCTTTTTAACATTATAAATAACATTGAAGCTTTAATTATAACAAGCAGCGAGTTCAAGGCCCCGATCTCACTTTTCATCACAATCTCTCATCACCACAATGTTCCACTGAATACTGAATCAGAACTACCCTGCATTCCCTCGAACGCTCTGTCCAAAGTCAGTGATGAAAGATGGCATATTTGCTCTGCTCTGATTGGTCGTTACAATATTCGTACTTTTATTCGTTAATGATTCCAAACTATGAAAGAATTATATAATAACAAACCAATGTAATTAGATTATTTAAAGTAATAAAATAAATCTCAAAAATGATTTCAAATTTTTGGGATCCCATAACTATAGCCTACGCTCTTCCGAAAACTATATCCTTGAAATTCCATGTCATAACTCCTCCTTTCTTGGCGATTCCTTTAAGGTCTCTGCAGTTAAGCTATGGAATTCACTTCCAGTCCCTATTCGCTTAGCTCCTTCTCTATCTTCCTTTTAATTTCTTCTTTACAAACATTACCTGTCCACATCGTATCCCTAACTTTAATAATAGGTACCTACCAACTGTCGTGAGACTGATCTTAATTTAAGAAATTAAAAATGATTCATGTGCACTTTTTCATTATTATTATTATTATTTTTTCATGTATTCTTTATTAGTTTAGTTTGTTTTTTGTTCCTTGTTTCCAACTAAATGTAATACATGTATTTTTGCACTTCTTGCCTATCTTATGTAATTTAATACTTTTTGTTTTCTCACAGTGGTTGCCTGGAAGAGATCGCTTGAAAGCGATAAGGCCGCCAGTTGCTCTCCTTTTTATTTAATTATGTCAATTGTACTATATTAATGTATATGCAACGAAGTGTTAATAAATAAATAAATAATAGAAGGAATCTCAATCATTAACCAAAGTAACAATAAAAATCAACAGTCAATTGACTCGATCCGAACATTTTCTGATAATCCGAGCATTCCCAGACATATATTATTTAAGAAATATCAATACTTTATCGTTACCTACGGAAACTTGGATGCCTCTGTGAAAACTTAAAAAGATCTTATACCTTAGTCAAATAATAGGCGGTCATTCCCTGCCTTCCCTCGTGGCGCTGGCCTCGCGCGAGGGTAAGCCCGATGATAGCATCGGCCAATATGTGCGGATGTAAGGACGGCCTCTCCACCGCGAGAGGTTTCGACGAGTGAGCCGCGAGGACGTGCCTCGGCCAGAGGGAACTGTCGGCCAGCTCGAGGCCCGTGTGCCAGTGGTTAAAAGCGAGGCAAACGACGAGGTAAAAGCCTTTTTCTAGCATTTTGTGGCAGCCTACGAAGCCTCGCACCTGGAATTATTAGTAAATTCTCTTCAAATAAAATACCGCCTCCGTAATTCGCTACAAAGATAAATAATAACAATACGCGAATAGCAAAGAGAATGGTGAACGAAAATAAAACTCGGCAAATAAATGTTGTTCTACAACGGGACAGTGTAAGAGCATACATCATGTCAACTCTATTTTGCCGTATTATAGTGTGAAAAAGTAGGTCTGCAGCAGGTGTCAAAAGTTTTTATTTGTTGTTTGTTTGAGTTTGTCGTCTAAAAAGGAACTTCTGTCGAGCCTAGTTGAATTTCATTTTAATATTATTGAAAATAAAAAAACTAAAAATAAATAAATAGTTTAAACGTTTCATTATTAATTTGGTGCGATGCGTTAACTTGAAATTAAAACACAGAATAAATATTAGTGAAATGACAGAAATCAGATGATTGGACTGACTGACGCCATTAAATTATTCTAGGAATAGCTGTTATTCCGTGCGAAACGGCGGTATAGTAAAAATTCCCGAATAGGCCCACTATTCTTAGAATTTGTAGATGGTAAAACATAAAATTGATTTAGTCTCGATTAACTGACGATTTATTCTAAGATTAAGATTTACTCTTGTTTGGTCGAATCCACCCTTAAAATGTTTAAACTAACCTGTCGTTTGCTGTGTGCCACAAGTTTGCCAACTTGTGCACTTGGCCCCGATTTGGTTCTGAACACAACGACGCACAAGTCAAGTTGAGATCGCTGGCTTTTTGCTGAATTCCTGAAATAATACATTTCCTTCATTATTTATTTGTAATACTCGTGTTTGGGGTACCATTCAATTACGTGACGCATTTTTTTGAAATTTTTAACTGAAGTGATGAGAAAAACTATCTTAGAGTTTAAGAAAAATCGCTATCATGTAAAGCAAGCCATTTTGTGACGGTTGCTTTGGTCATTCCATTTGAAATTTTTAGAAAAAAAAACCTTTTAAAAACGGTAAAAATGGGACTTGGTTCGGCAGCTGGTTCTACATAGTGGTGGTGCACGGCAAATGCTGGCCCAAAAAAAGGCTCACTTGTGGAACGACGGACGTCGAGGTGATACGGACGATATTTTGTATTCTGCCCTGACGTCCGATGAACCTCAGCTGCAGGTATTAGTCCGACCTCTGAACCCTCTCCATGGTAAATGCGGTAGAAGATGCGGAGACCCCACATCTCTACGCAACGCCAAGGGATCAAGCCGCTTGAAAAGGGATTGGTCGTCGACGATCCGAACCGCTCTTCGTTGAGTACGTTATCTATACGGGTGTATCTGTTATACGTTGTGCATGTTTTCCTGGACTTTAGCAATTATTGATTGCGATTAGAAAACTCAAGCCAGCCATCAACTCAGCCGAGATACGAACGCACTTTCTTACAGTCTAAGCTAAATTCTTATTTACTAACATCGCTGTAATGAACAGAACATAATACCTTTGACCTTCCTGAAACAATGTGAAGTCAACCTCTGTGGGCTGAGTGGCAGTGAGTAGCAGACACGTGAGGTGACGCGTGGACGACATCGGGGGCAGAATACCCGCCAGACGGACCTCGTGCCATCCCGCTCGCACCTTGCATATGTCTATGCAGTCGAAGTATCTAAGACAGAGATAGTCGTAAAGTGCCTATAGACTGATAAATTAGCATTTATTTTTGTTTTATATATTTATTAAAGTTTACCACTACATACATAATGTTATATCTACATTATATGTCTCAATCTTTTTCTTTTTCAATGCTTCTTTTTAATTGATCAACCCAATACCGAATATCCCAAGCTCTGGATAAGTATACGTTATATTCGGGAAGAATTGTTAGACTTTTTAAATAATTAAAAAAAAACAGTGGCGCTACAACCTCTTAGGTCTTGGCCTCAGATTTCTGAATCTGTTTTATGATCATTTATCAAACTAATAGGCAAATAGGTGATCAGCCTCTAGTGCCTGACACACGACTTTTTGCGTCTAAGGCAAGCCGGTTTCCTCACAATGTTTTTTCTTCACCGTTCGAGCGAATGTTAAATGCGCACATAGAAAGAAAGTACATTGGTACACAGCTAGGAATCGAACCTACGACCTCAGGGATGAGAGTCGCACGCTGAAGCCACTACTGCTCAATTTAAAAAAAAACTTTAGTTTAAAGTAGAAGAAAATTTCATTAAATGTCATACTTTAAGCGAGTTTAGCTTATAAAAAAATCAAACATTAAAATATTTTTTTATGAATAACTAAAAAACAAAACTCACTTAAGAACATCCTCAAAGCTGATCCAAAACACTCCTTGATCTCTATCAGCCGTGCAAACCGGGAGCTGTCGCCTCACGTGCTCCGTCCAGCGCGGACAGCCATGCGCCCATGGGCCGCGCCACGTGTAGTGGCCCCAGGGATTCCTCAGGCGGAGAAGTCGAACTGGTGGATTGCTGTCCGCCAGCTCCACTACGTCAAGGACGGAATACGCGTGCCGAGGACGAAGACCCAGACGCTGGTATTCTTCCTCGTCCACCTGGTTTAGGAGATAGAGAAACTAGAGATCCAGCGAACGGCGCAGGTTAAGTGAGTATTTTATTCTCTATTACGATTTATTTAGCTTATTCTATTTATGAAGTGAAACTTCTTTAGGCGCATGAGTGTAAAATTTTTATATTAGCGTCACGAAGATGTGCAGCGTTTTTGTCGAAGAAAAGGAAGAAAGCCATTGAGACAGATTGAGAGAGAGTGAGAAGGGCGAATTACCTTATATAAATTATATTTTTAAAATTTCGTAGAGTATTTTGTTGTATTAGTTGCTGTTACAAGTATTCGAGAGATGATTTTTAATTCCGTAGAAATCTGACAGCTATAATTTTTGACATTTCAGAGATGGTAAACCTTTTTGGCCGGGCACATTTTTCAATTTCAATACAAGTCTGAACATCTGAGTCTATACATACATTTTATTGTTAGTTAACGTATTCATTTTATTAAGTGCGGTGCTCCACATTACAAGTGGTTTAACGGCGAGTGATAATTAATGTCCCTTTTCATCACAAACAGTAAAAACGCATAAGTAACGATAAATTTTTTTTTTTTAAAGGTTTAATAAACCTGGAATTAGTAGGCAGTTATGCCAGCTAAAGAATAAAATGAAGAAATTAAAGTTAATTCAACATATTGTTCGTAGTATTGAAATATTTGTTATTTTTATATTAGGTCACTTGAGAAAGTACATATTTAGAATTACCTTTTTGTAGGTAGAACATAAAAAATATTATTTTTTATTGCCCTCAAATGGGTCCAATTTGTCCCTTTTTCGGTGGAGAACTTTTTTAGTAGCAACACATGAAATGTCAGAATTCTAGCGAATGAAAATCAGAGTATATATGTGTTGACGATTGATCATACTACACCCAAAGCCGTACGTATCTTTTGTTTTACATGTTCTTCCTCTTCATCATCAGCTATTTTTTTTGGGTCCATATTAGGATGTAGGCCTCCATTCTCGTCTTACCCAATTTTTACATTATTATATAAGTACAAGAAATATGAACCGACCTTCATATTCCCTCCGCCACAACTGGCTCCCATGAGAAAGCATGCCTGCCTCGAAGACAGCAGCTGTGCCCAGACTAGGTCCCGGTCCAGCTGTTCCAGAGGTGCACCACCGCCCGCCCCTCCACCTGCACCCCCCGCTTGCAGAGACACCGACTCGCAAGGCGCCCCCGTCAGGGTACACAGACCTACAAATTAAAACCCGTTGAGACACATGAGAACTTGGGCAAAACTATTATTATGCAGAATTAATTAACCATTAGATAGTAAGAAAAAAAAATGCGTGCGTACAAAATATAAAATACTAATATTTCATAAATTCTCTTTACGAAATTTTAATTTTAAAAATAGGATTTCTATAAGCCAATTCACCCTTCTCACTCTCGCTCAATCGCTCTCTCCCTTTCTCTTTTCTTCGACAAAAACGCTGCACATCTTCGTGACGTTTTTTTAAAAAAATTACCCTCATGCGCTTAAAGAAGTTTCACTTCAAAAACCGTACTTAGTCATTCAATAAGTATTAACTTGGGATTTAAATATTAAATCCACAGTTGGGTGTCCCATACCCAATTAAGGATTATATTCACCTTCAATCGCCCTTCCGGATACCAGGGCCTCATAACACCCGTGAAGCTTCGCCACCGCTTTCTCGATTAATGGCACCCACAACTGCTTTCTTTTTGCCTGAAGTGGTATACAGATTTTTTAGACATATAGTTTAAATTGGACATTAAATTATTTAGACCCCCGTGCGTGTACGTCACAAATACAACCACGGGGCGGTGACTTTTTAAATTACGAACGTCCTAACTTTATCATTGTCCATGGGCAGCGGAGAACAACACTTCTATAAGGCAAAAGTAAAATTTAAAAAAAAAAATATTAAAGCTCTTATATAATACACCTGTGTATTTATTGTATGTTGTGTGTTCTCTGTAAGTGTATATGTGTATCGTTAGTGTATTAAAAATAAATAAATAGATAACTAACCTGTGAATACACAAGATGCCCCTTCTTATTACACGGTAGCTGGTCATCAAGGGTGATGGTCAACCAGCGGCCATCTTTACAAAGTCGCAATTGATAAGCGCCCCTTTCGGGTTCAGCGCGAACTACAACGCTACGCACTAAAGCCGATCGCTCGGCTAGTACTGCTAGTGCAGAGAGCAGCCAGCAGTTGCCTAGAACACCTGGAATTATGGGAAATGGTTTTATGAACCATATTCATCAGCAAGACTTGAGAAAGTAGCGGAAAGTTTGTAGCAATTTAGCACAAAACTGACTGGGAATAAAAATATCGTTCAAGTATTACGTCACGCTATTTTTGGAAATTATTGACCCTCCCCCCCATATAACGCGCCGTAACGTTTTTCTGTACCCAAGTATAGTAAAACGTTTCGTGACCACTTAGTGACTCTTTATAACTAAAAGTTCCATTATGTAATGTAAAGTAATGGAAAGTCGAAAATAATATAACAATAACGCGTAATTCAACCCCCGCCCCGCATCGTAACGTTTAACAAAAGCCTCCAGTGCCTGACACACGCCGTCGACTTTTTGGGTCTAAGGCAAGCCGGTTTCCTCACGATGTTTTCACCGTTCGAGCGAATGTTAAATCCGCACATAGAATGTCCATTGGTGCACGGCCGGGGATCGAACTTACGACCTCAAGGATGAGAGACGCACGCTGAAGCCTAGGCCAACACTGCTCCTAAATATCTAAAATAGATCCAAATACTACATACCCTGAGAAATATCCGACGGTCTTGGATCCCGGAAGACTGCCCAAGGAAGTCGATGGTCAGCGTCCACATGGATCTGATGAGGCCTGAGCCAACGAGCGGCTGCCCCGCTCTCCCCTGAACCGCCGTAGTACAACGAACGCCCGGACGCAGGGAACGACTCGTCTACGTACATTTCACCCGTCTGGAAGAATTAACCAAACTAATTTAAAAAAATATACAGATATATATATTTACTAGCTGTTCGTTGCCACGCTTCGCTGTGGCACATTGTGATTGAAAACAAAGAATATTTCATATAGGTTTAATTTTGCATTATTTGTGAAAAAAACAAAAAAAAAATCCTTCAAAAACAATCCTTGATGCGGATTATACATTATGCTAAAATTTCAGCTCGATCTGTGCAGAACATTCTGAGTTTTTGAAGCGTACATAAACCAACATAACATTTATATATAATATATAAACTAGCTGACCGGGCAAACGTCGTTTTGCCATATATATCATTTATAATAAAAAAATAGGGGTTGATCCTAGAGGGGTGAAAGTTAGGGGTTTGTATGTATTTTTTAATGCTGTATCATAAAAAAATAAAAACAGAAAAAAATATCTAAAAATAAAAAAAAAATATTTAGGGGTGGACTACCCTTAACATTTAGGGGGATGAAAAATAGATATTGTCCGATTCTCAGACATACCTAATATTCACACAAAATTTCATGAGAATCGGTCGAGCCGTTTTGGAGGAGTATGGCAACGAAAACTGTGACACGATAATTTTATATATTAGACTAGCCGTTTCCCGCCCGCTTCGCTGGGCGAATTAAAATAGGAAATAAATAAAATTTTATGTTTCATTATTATTATTTTTTCATATTTTTATTATTCTTCTTTTTAACTTCCCGCTAAGAAAATTGAAAATTTTCGAAAATCGAGTTTTTAACAGATGTTGACGTTTTGAGGTTCTAGGAAGCCTTCCCGAATGTTTCCGCGGTGAAGTCCGTATGTATAAATTTTCATAAAAGTAAAACAGCAATAAAAAAATGAAGGAACGTTGGAATTTAAAAAATTTCGCATCGAATGGCAGTAGTTTCATGTCGATACGATCAGTGGTTTAGGCGTGAAGGAGCCTCAAACGAAGACCATTTTTCTTATATATATATAGATTTACACATTACACAAAAATAATTCTTAGGTGCCTATTAGTGGTATTCGGTAGTGCGTTGATCAATTTTAAAGAAAGCATTTTTTACTAGAAACGTTTTTATCTTTACCATAATTGCCAGATATCTTAGAAAATCTTTTAACATATACTGGTATGAAATCTTAACCCGATTATATGGACGGGCTTGCTACTAAGATTCCAGGCAACCCTAATTAAAGAAAACAGAATAAAAAGAGTTTGTTGCTAATCCTCCTTGTACGTTTTACGGTCAGTCAATTTAGAAGCATTATTTTTTACTGACGTTCAATATAGTTTTAGTGATTAAGTTTGCTGTGTGTGTGAAATATTGTATAAACAGTTACAAGAATGTAGTATATTGTAGCCAAAGTTGGGTTTTACTGTGTAACTTGTTATAAATTGTACGGTAAAAAGAAACAATGAGGAAACAGGCGCGTGTCAAACGCAAGACGTGTCACTTGACGAACCCATCCATAAATAACTGATCAATACAACATAAACAGAGATCTAGATCCCAAAGGAAAGATTGATTGTCAGATTATTGGCAGACAAGGCCCCCCCCCCCCCCAATTTTTTTTCGTTTTCGGCCCCTCTCCAACTTATTAAAATCGAAATTATGTGCTTGCAGCGCCACTTTTGTTCCATCTTCCTCGTGTACGAACAAGAATTATATTATAACCACAATTTATGAAAATGCAGCCATTTTCCACAGCAGCATTTTTCATTTTTTTAGCAGAAGTAACAATTTCTTTTTTCTTTAAAATATTTATTCCAGTTTTTTATGTTAATTGACTTGTTTTTCATATATTTTGTTTATCAAAGTAATATGTTTTGGCTTTGTATGTTGTCTAAGTGTTTTCTTATAATATGTATATGTGTAGCTGTAAGATTACTTATAAATAAATAGAATAAAAGTAATTTCACAAAAACATGACTCACGGCAGCGCTTTGGGCCAAAACCTCCTGCCACTGGGTCCAAGCGTGACTCTCCTCTCGCAGCCTCAGTATCTCCATCGGCGTACTTTCTTGACGTTCACCATCCGACCCTTCTGCTGTAGATTTACAATTTTTTATTAGTAACTTTCATATGCTACGGATTTCCCATGAAAAATGAGCAGAATATTGACGGAATGGTACCCTAGAGACGGAAAACCAAGAAGAGCACCACGCAAGAGATGGGTGGACGAACTGTAACTAACAGCAGGCTACAACTGGAGAAGAGTCGCAAAGGATAGAGAACAGTGGAAGGGGTTAGTGGAGTGCCACGAGGCACACCGAACTCCGGGATATACTGGAGTGAAAATAGATTAAAGTTCATATATATAAAATCACAGAGTTTCGGAATTTAAAGGATATATTATTAGTAACTTTATATGTCAGCTTAGTTATGTATAGCTAGCTACAAAATCAAATATCATATTAGTTATATATACGACATATGATTATTTTTTCGTAATTAACGAACGAATCTTTAGTATTTTTTGAGATATCGTTATTATGCATATCTAAATATATACATATATATAAATCATATCATATCTACTGTGTATATAATATAAATTAGATAATGTTGGTATTTGAATTCGGTGTCTTTTAAAATCACTTCATATAAAGGCCGGCAACACACCCACTAAAATGGGATGATTGCCCCTTTTGGTAGACGCGTAGGCCCGTTTGTTCCCAATAAAAAATGATTTATATAATAAAATACATACGTGAGTCATCGTCGTCCAAACTGGGCTGGTCAGGCGCAGCTGGCAGAAGTCTAGTCTTGGGCGATTGACACATTTCACAAGACATGGCCGACACACTGTTCACGAACGTGCATTCGGAGCACGGCCATTCAGAATCAGTCCTGAAACATGGGTTAGGGAGCCTTCAAGTATTATGTACCAAATTTGAGGGGGAGGGGAGGGGATTGTAAAACGTTACGATGCGGGGCGGGGATTGAATTACGCGTTGGTGTTAATATTATTTTCGACTTTCCAGTACTTTACACCACATAATGGTAACTTTTAGGTATAAAGTGTCACTAGGTGGTCACGAAACTTTTTACTATTGCGTATTATTAGTTTGAGGGGGGGATAGAATTGTTATAAAGACCGGCTAACTTCTTGAGCATTAAATAAGGGAGTGGTCCCCCCGGTTTGCGCATCGTGGGACACAAACGTCCACAGATTTACCAATCACGCGATCGACACGTCACTCTCAATCGAACCTACGACCTCAGGGATGAGAATCGCACGCTGAAGCCACTAGGCCAACAAAAACATGTTTCTGTACATGAAATAACTGATTACATAATATGATCGGTATGATCGTCGTTAAGTAGCGTCAAACACGTAAACGGAATAGCCATAGAGTATAGAAATTGGGAATTTACTATCAAAATATCGTTTTAGTATAAGATCCCGCTATACAACGACCTTCACCGAGATGCTTATTTAATGAAACTTATTTTATATATAATTTAATATGTCAATAAATATAATCCATATGGATTGCTTAGCAAATTTCAGTCCAGAGTATGTTTAATTAATTTAAAAAAAAAATTTTTTTAAACATTTGCACCTGTAGTAATTTTTTGAACTTTTTCAATCAAAATTTTTAATCAGGTAGTATTATAAAGTTCTATACCTTTTATACTAGAGATGTATATATACTTTAGTTCACATAAAAATATATACTAAATATTTAGTTGTTTAGAAATCAACTAAACGTTTGCATATTCTATGGGCTTTATATTCGATTTATAGAATTGATCTAAATATAATGAAATTTTATAAAAAATAATTTTTATTAGTTAAACATACTCTGATAATTACTAGCATCCATATTGGATTAAAAATTTGCATTAAATTAAATTTAAAAATTTTATTACATCAAGCATCTCGGTGAAGGCGTTGTATTTTTTTACCATTTTCTACGTCTGTGAATAGCATAATCACAAATAATGTTTTCGTAATGCAAACATTATGTAAAAAATGACTTACTTAGTTTCGGGTGGCGGAGTTTTGTGTCTAGACCCTCGACGGGGCAAAGCCGGCGTATGACGAGGGCCTCTGCGAGGTGAGGGGCTCCGACCTGCTGAAACTGATATTCGTTATAATTTTTAGATGCAGAATAAAACATATTTTTACATTAATAAATTATTTTATTTTTGTTGAAGAGGCCGTAGTCTTGAGAGACTGTAGAGTAGTGTTTCCCATGCCCCACCTTAAATGCCCCACCTTGCTTTTCTTAAATTTTTATGCCCCCTATAATAATTTTTAATATAAAAAAATTAAATTGTTCACTTAAGAAACTTAAATGATAGGTTCTAGAAAGAAATTACTAAGAAATTGTTAACGAAAAACCGAAAGTAAATTTTTAAAATACAAAAACTGAATTAAAATTCCAAATAATTTTAATAAATTTCCAAACGCCTTGTGAGGCGTGGGCCCACGTTGGGAAACACTGCTTTTGAGCTAATATTTTTTTGTGTTGTAAACACAAATAATAGCGCTTAAAACGAGTTTAAGACAATTGATTAAAATAAATTCTTAAAACGCTTAATGCCTCTTTTTAAGCGCAACAGCAAAACGTTCTCTCCCTCTATCTCTCTCTCTCAAAATTTTTGTAATAATTTACTAAATACATAGAACTCCTTATGACCATACATCAATCGGCTTACAATCGTTTTTTTTAATGACACCACAAACACAAAGAAATATCAAGATTAAAAATAAAAGCTTCTTTAATAATTGTTTGACTTCTTAAAGGAATAAATATGTTTAATCTCACCAGCAGCGACGTGGTTATCAGTAGGCACGGCGTGCTTCGGTACGGGCGGGGTCTTACAGGCCAAGCAATGGTTCGCTGACATCGGATTACGCAGCGTACACGAGCTGCATGACCTGAAATTAAAGTTAAAAATTTAATAAAGAAAAAACGTTTAATTGATTAAAGCACAAATATACATGTAAAAATATATTTTTCTTTGTGTATGTGACTGAATCCTCTAAAATAATTTTGATGAAATTTTTGTGTGTGTTCAAGGGATCTGGGAATGGTTTAGATTCACAAATCAGCCCAGATGGACTGCAGTCGGTACTTTCATACTTTGCTTAATATCCTAATCGCTTTAAATATCATGCAGGACAACGTCTGTGGGGTCCACTAGTATATACATATATATACAGTGTACACTCCCTGTTACGTCCTTCGATTTAACGAAAACCCCCTTGAAATCACTAGGCTTTGGTTGGTTTATAATACACTCTACATAGCATTACACCCACCCTCAATAACGACAATTAAATAATAAACTCGACTGCCGGCATAACGGTCCGTACTTTCTAAGAAATTCATTCTTTTGTTTAAAAATTGGGATTGCTTGCCCGTGTAAACAAACTGTTGTTAGTAGGAGTACATGGCAAGTAAGAGAAAATGTGTGTATTAAGAAAAAAGCGGGAGATACTTAATTACTAACACTAGTCTGAAGTAAAAATTTCCCTTGAGTGTCGTTATATAGAGTTTACACTGTATCTATATAGATAAAAGAAGTACAAACACAATCACATTAATAAAAAATGTACCCAACTAAACTTCTAGTTGCTGTCACTAACAACACTGATTTAAACTCAAACTCGAAATAACTTAATTCATATAGGTAACCAAATACACTTATGAACGTCAACAGAAAAGAAGTTAAATTGATTCTAAACTTACATTTACTACCAGTTCGTAAGTCGCAAGAGGCAATCCTACTAAAATCCGTTTATTTCGTAATAATAATTCGAAGAACTCTTTACATTATAGTTAATAAGACAAAAATAATAAATTAAACATGTTTAAAAGTTATTAAGTACCAGAAGTTATGAGTGCTGGGTCGAGATCCCGCGCAGGCAGCGCACGCGGTCGCGTTCGCGTCATTCACGAGCGTACAACGGGTGCACGACCACGTACTGTCAACCGCTGGACTTGAAGTCTCTGTAATGATATACGTTCATTCGTCAAAAAATAAAAATGGAAACATTAGAAAAATTAAACCAACTTCAAAATTATATTTTTGTCAACATTATTTGCCTATGCCTACACATTTTTCAAAAATATTTCTTGACCGATTTTGACGAAACTTGGGACTCTTAGTGGGAAAATAACTAATTTAAATCATAATATCTCACGCGCATTTCTAGAATTACTTCTGTAATTGTACTCAAATATTATTTAATTTCCACTAAGTCATATACATACAGGTCAAACTGCTGACCTTATTTGGAATCGGTTCAATATTAACTAAGAAAATTAAGACCTGACGCTGATTTTAGGTACCGCATTTCCGAATAGTGTTCAGATCAGAGGAGTTGTTCGGACTAATACCTGAGCTGAGTTTCATCATCGGACGTCAAGGCAGAATACAAAATACCATCCGTATCACCTCGACGTCCGTCGTTCCACAACTGAGCGTTTAAAGGCAGTTTTTGCCGCGCACCACCACTATGTAGAATGTGGAAGTATTTGAGTGGTTCCGCATAAGATATCATAAGACCCTTCAAGAAAAGAGCCTACCAATAATTAAAAGGCCGGCAACGCACTTGCGAGCCTTCTTGCAGTCCATGGGCAAGTATGGCGGTATCACTTAACATCAGGTGAGCCTCTTGCCCGTTTGTTCCCTGTTATATAAAAAAAACTCTAAAAGTTCTCTCTCTAAATACTGTATTTCGCGACGAAACCTACGTATTGTCGAACCACAAAATGGAAAACCTAATGAATATGTGGAGTACCGAAAAAATACGTACCGACAGCAAACAATAACTCGTCACTATTCAAATCATGCTCCATAGACGCAATTGGTACTGTCAGCTTCTTCGGTTGGTTCTGGTTCGGTTCCAACTTAGTACCACTTGCTTCTGAAGAATTTCTGAAAGAGAAATTACTTTTGTTAGTCACAAATTTTATTCAACTATAAACAGAAAGGAAAAACACCATGATGTGCCAGAATGGTGTCAAAGATGGTTTTAGAGAAATGGCTGGTCCGAATTAGATCAGAAAAGCAAGAGGCAGGTATTTGTGGAGAAAGCTTTGGGAGGCCTATACTGGCGAGATTAACAGCTGAACTGAAGAGAACGGCCCGTTTTAGCCAAAAAAAATATTTCAAATTATACGAATTTATTATAAAAGGTCAAATGATGTCAAATGAGTATGGGTAGCCGGCCTATGTCGGTATAATCATTATTTAAACAACTCGAGGTCGGAATCTTTGTGATGCGGACCGTGGAAGACTTCCAGCCATCATGATGATGCTGAATTTTGAAAACAATTTTTATTATGTTTCTTTCTAGACGTAAGATTTTATTCCCGTTGAATTTTTTTTTTAAATAAATAATTTTCGGCCGGGTTTTCAGGATTTTATCGTGAATAATGTTGAAAATGAAAAATACTCTTGCCATTAAGTAAAAGAAATTGCGAAATGTCTGTTTGAGTGTTTGATTAATCAAAGAATTAAATGAAGGCGTTAAAACTTATATCAGCAGAAGAGTAATAAATCGTAGAATTTTTCGAAATGAGGACAAATTTTCGCCCGTTTGTTGAATGTTATTTTTTTTTAATTTGAGTACACTTATTGACCCCGGTAAATGTTAGAATTTTACATACGATCATTAACTTTGGCCGGCTGATGGACAAACGAGTCTAGTGCACAGCGAATATGCGATTTTTGATAGGGATTTATAGTATAGTAACAGATGGCAAAGCTGATTTTCTTAGTGTATAGTTATGTTTTATTTATTTCGGTTTTTTTCACTTATTTACGTTATTAAAGTTTAAAATATAAGCGCAAGTAAAATACATGAAAAAAGTCACCTATGGGGTTGTGGCGTTTGTGCGAGCGTTGTGGCGTGCGGAGGCCGCGCACTGCGACAGACCTCGCAGCGCGATCCCCACGCGTTGTACGCGAACCAACATTCGCCGCATTGCCACATACGGCCGCTGGGCTCACGACTGATAGAAATTATATAATCTTAATTTTTTCATAATAATAACGATTATAAGTAATCATAACAATTAAATATACAGTATTTACAACCTTCATAGTCGTAATAAAAATAATTAAAAATTAAAACATATTTCAAACATTAGATCCCTGTGACAGTGTACCAGTGTAACGCTGGGAGCATTTTCTCGCTGTATTGCGATACTTATTCGTTGAGCACCAGCTCTGGAATCACCGCTACTATCTACCAGACGCCAACTTAAATCTTTAATTAGCGCCTGTGCACTTGAACCCCACGGCCCAAGAGTCTACTCCAAAGGGAACAAAATCGAAGTTGGAGGAAAGACTCTTACATTCTGGCCGATTATTATAAACTTTATTATGTACAAGAAGTTACAACAATGAAATAATATTAAATAACAATGGTATAAGATATCCCCCCTTAGATACAAACTCCTTTCCATCCATATAACGACTTAAAAAAACTGCTTAGTATTGATAGATTGTATGGACACAGATACTAATACTTGTTTGTCGAAATTTTTGATTAGTCATTTGTTTATATCAATGTAAATTAAAGAAAGTATTCCTGACAGAAATAGGTTGTGTCAAAATTCATCTAGGTACAACAATTATTCAGTAAATTAATGTAAAAGCGTAAAACACTTACGAATTCTGTGTAGAAGGCACTTTGGAAGGCTCCCGTGGGTTGTGGGACACTTTGCCCACCGACGGCAGCATATTGAACACTTTCTCCTTCACCCCGATGTGAGAAGTCCTTAAATTACTCTCCCCAACTGGGGACAAACAGTTCTCGGCACCTAACAACTCGTCTATCCTCGCGTAATCCCCGTCGCCTATATCGTTCGAATACAACGCCTCATTCTGAGAATTTGACATCACAGTTTTTGTATCCTGCACCGAAACATACGAGTACCTCGTTCCGTTGTTATTCACTTGCAATTGTAAGTTTAAATCTTTGTACTTTCCCTTGTTGGGAAGTGCGTAAATAACACCTTCGGCATTAGTATCCCAACTGCACTCTTTATCTATCAGTTCAGTGTTCGATTCGTCAATTTTCTTTTCGGTCTTCTCCCGACGCTCGTCTTTCAATGAACAGTAGCTTTCTAGAGACTTTTGATAATCGTTCAAGCTTCGCCTGCTAGAAATCACTTTGCCCATGGGCCGATTTTCACTGTTCTGTTCCGAGAACGATCGGCGGTACGTGGGTCGGATTTCTGGCGAGTTTTGAGCGCTGACTGATCTTTGGAGCGATTCCCTTAACGTTTCAGTTTGTGGCCAATCTGGTACTGTTATCATCACCCCTCCAGAGGAAGGTAAGGACGTGGCACCGTCCCTATTGAAGGTTTCGTGTCTACCTAAGGTGGTGACGCTGAGACCACGCGTGTTAGGTATTCTGGAGAGTGGCGAAATTCTGGGACACAGACAAGCTTCGCAATGGGTTCTTATTCCCGAGTTTTCGAGGGTGCACTTACTGCAAGCCCATTTCTTCAAATGCAACGCTCTGCTTTGCTCTCTCTGGTATTCCTTGACGTAATTCAATTCCCAATTGGATTTGCTCTCGTTGCACTTCTTCGGCCTCCTCGTGACCGTGTGAAGACTTCGCAGGAAAGACTCTCGAGGGTTATACGTAGCAGCTTGATAGCCGTAACGCTCCGATACCATTAAACTGGTCGGTCTGCTAATCGTGGCTCTACTTTCTTCAATATTCCACCATTTATGCTGGGAATTGATCACGGAGCCATGTGAGAGGGAGCGCGTGACACCGTGAGCTTGATCAGTAAGCTGAGTCGGAGACAAACGCAACGACTGCAAGTCGAGGTTCAAGCGTCGACCATCAGAGTAACTTGACGAGGGCTTGTATGAGGGAACAGCCAGGGTGTTGGACCTTATCATACTGTCTGAAAATAGAATTGGATTTAAGTTTGATTTGATTAATAATTGGTTTGATTAATAAATATATATTATGAAACAGTAGATACCTTTATCAGACTTGTCTTTGTCCGTCATCCCTGAAGATTGTTCCTCATCATCAGACAATCTGGAAATAGGCACAAAAAGTTAGCATCACCAGGTTACGGCAAGTACTATGAAATCAGTATATGAGTATTTCAGCGCCATCTGATCCTAGATAAATGGAGTTATTATACCTGTAGACTGGCGCATGCAGCGCGAGTACATCGCAGGCAGCGCAGCGCCACGAGGCGGAAACGTTGCGCAGCCCGCAAGCGCACCGCCACGCGCGACTTGCGCCTGGCGCCGAACCCACTGACGACCATCCGCTGGTAACAAATTATACGTTGGCTATAGAGATAAAGGTCAAAAATATAAAATTTGACACAATATCGTTTCCCTATTTAAAGACAAACCGTTTAGCCATACAATGATACACTCTAAATAGCGTTACACCCACCCTTAATAACAACAATTAAATAATAAAAAGTACTTTATAAGTTGCCGAAATTTAAAAAGCACATTCACGTAAACTTGAAATTGTAACCGATTGAATCTGTCTGTAATCTCTGTAAAAATCTACACGGTTTGCATTTCGTTTCACATGTTTTGAAATACACGCTGCTAGAAATATTAAAATAATTAAGAGAAAAGTATTAAATGTACGTTTCGTTTAACGAATTTCAATAAAATACAAAATTATATTTAAATTTTTTTTATACTTAGACGCAACTCCGGCAGCCAAAATTACTTGGAGGGGTTCCAATCAAGGTCCTCTGAGATACCTACATAATCAGTTCAATCAGTAAAATTCAGGCGACGTATTTCTAAATCCAACCCTTATGCAATTACTAACAGTCTTAAGTAAGCTTTTTCTTTTTGTAACACAAATTTTTCTTCTTTCCATTTAATCACAACTCTTTGTAACATCAAAAATTGCACTCAAGGGGAGTGTCGTTATATATAGAGTTTACACTGTACATCAAGCAAAACAACACTCATCTTAAGTAAAAATAATCAGTGAAACAAATGTTATATCTAAATATAATTAGTTTTAGGAATTCTATATAATATCCCATTAGTGCTGAACAAGGAAAGAGAAAAATGTAGACATCTGATCTAGAAACAAAACCATTTTATGTATATGTATTTTTTAGATATATGTATTTTTTAGATATATTTAATTGTTTAAATATATTTTAATGTACCAAAGTTGATGATAAATGTGGCATAGAACACGGAAGTAAGGGGTATATTCGTACTGCTTATTTATATTTTTATTTATAAAAATTTAAAAACAGACAAAGACCCAACCCGTGACCTTTAGGGAAATAAGGGAACTAACAACATATTTTATGAAACCTACCTGCAAAACGTACAAATAGACAATTTTTATTTAAAACAATTAATATCTATACACTATGAACAAGCAAAACTGATAAAAGGCTTACACTATACCCAACTTGACAAAACACAGTCTCTTTACATCTGAAAAATAAAGCAACTGACTTGTTAGCTTGTTATTTTATCAATATAGCTTTTGATTGATTGATTGATATAATTAAATATGTAAATTTGAACAACCTTTAAAGTATAGAATGAAACATTCACTGAATCTAGTCACCCATGAAAACAAAGGACTCAACATCAGCAATAAAAACAAAGAACTTGCAATCTATATGTAAATTAACACTCTGCTCAATATTGAAATCTTACATGAAAATGTTATACAAAAATAGTTCTTTTGCATAGGATACCTTAAGCTCAATATGGGCTAGATAAATGGATTTGTTTTGTTGCTGACTAGTTTTTCAAGAATTAACACAATTGAGTCAAATTCTTATTGTCGTACATCGTAATTAAATCGTATTTAAAATAAAGACTTATACATACCTATAAACATTGTTCAGTTGATGCCCCTAATTCTACATTTTCAATGAAATGATGACACACAGTCACAATACAAAGAATCTAAATCGATATTTTACATAAAGGGCTAGGTAATCACGCACGCAACCACGAAATACAAAGGGAATCTAACCTAAATAAAGTCTTTAGAAAAATCGATAGCGATTTGACACAAGCGATATGAAATCGCATGTCAATAGTTTGTAGAAAAAACATACCGATTAAAGTTATTTGTTGTTGGTATAACAATAGCTTCAGATCCTGGGGTGGTTCCGCCACTTTTCTCTGTCCGCGAAGCGTAATCTGATGAAGAGTCTCCCGTATAATATTGTTTTTGTAAATTTCTGTCATGACTTGATACCCGTTTGGTACCACATTTTAAACATTTTACACTCTCTGTTGGATTGATTTGACCACACGCTTGACAATGCCATTGCAGCACAGATGCGATTGAGCCCATTTTAATTCACACATGGCTATGAAACCATAACAATACTCCGTTTTATATAAATAACTAGCGGCAATGATGAAGGAACGAAAACAGCTGATCCACCATGTTGTTTGTGTATAACTTTTTTATGTAGTGTTGCTAGCTATGAAATAAAATAGAAAATATAACAGTCCATGTTATTTTAATCACAGCTAATAACATTAATAAAACAATAATAGTGCTAAAAATATTATAAAAAATCTATATATTGAAAGTAAACAACAATTAATTTATAAACAAAAATTATATTCATAGAAAGTGGCATCTAGGGATGGCATGAAACATGAAACTGGAAACAGAATCTCCAATTTTGAGTTAGAGTTTCATTATATTCCTAACCATTTAAAATCAAAACTATTATGCTTTTCGAATATTAGAATTTTAAATATTTTTAGTAAACTTAATGTAGGAAACCAATTCAAAGTTAACTACGGTACAAGAAAGTGACATCTAGTGGCATTTAAACTACAACCACCGAACATTAAGTTCTATTAGAATTTACTAGAGGGCTATGTGATAAAAATATAAAAGATTTAAAATTGATAATCGGCAACACTGAAAAAATGAATGGCGGATTTTGACGATATAAATTAAATAATGCAATTTTCATAAGGAATTACTTACTTTGAAATGTTCATAAATCTTTCTTATGTGTTGCTTTTCACCATAACATAAGGAACATATACCGCCTGTCCTACTGTCTCTGGCGATTCTGAGTTATCACCATCAGCTAAAGAAATTTTTATCTTTTGTTTCGATAATTTATTCGACTAAGTTATCATTTTCAGGTAGGTACTGGGCAATTAGTATAAGAAATGGGCAATGACTGTACTTCTTGGATGATATTTTAGTTAGGGACATTGCTAAGTTATAAGAAAAAAGTATTAAATGTTTGATAGATACAAAACTTATTTTTATTTTTTGACATAAATGTGTTTGAGTTCCTTCTGTGGTCTCGGTATATACTAATAATTTTACATTAAAGAAGATAAATCTAATTAATAATAATTAAATTAGGAAAATATTTTTAATATTTCTCGCTCAAGAAGTCATCCAACGTATTTTACTTTGAAACATTTAAATATAATTCAATCAACATACGCTAGGTATTATTCAAATTTATCTGAAACTAATCAGAGCCTGTCCCAGTTAAAATTAGGTGGTAAATAATTATTTGAATCTTCATAATTCACAGCTAAAATACGCAGCTGTGTCACAAACATACGACGTCAATTGCAATTATGGATGTACGCTGCAATTACTGCCCCTGACGGATTTACCATTAGCCAGAATTGGATTAGACATTGCAGTTTAGGTGTTAGTCAATTATTCTCACTATCCTGAACACTACATTTAACTAACAACAGCTGCAACAAATTTAATGAACCTCTTTCACTGGGAACTATTATTTAACGTTTTCTGTCACGTGATGCTTTGAGATTATTATAAAAAGTAATATGTAGATAATCTATATATGTAATTGTTATTCCTTTGACTAAGGGAGCGTTCAAGTATTACGTAACGAATTTCGAGAGGGGGAGGGGTTCTTTTGTAAAACGTTACGATACGGGGCGGGGATTGAATTACGCGTTAACGTTATCGTTAATATTATTTTCGACTTTCCAAAACACTTTACACCACATAATGGTGACTTTTAGGTATAAAGAATCACTAGGTGGTCACGAAACGTTTTACTATACTTGAGTACAGAAAAACGTTACGGCGCTAAACATGAGGGGGGGTCAATAATGCGCGTCATGTAATACTTGAACGCTTTCTAAGTCAATACACATTTATTTTGACAATACACTATTTACTTAAGTTTAAAATAGCACACTATTACAACAACAGGGATTTTTCAGCGACAATTTTTCCATACAATCCAAAGTGCAAACAGCAAAAATAACATAAAAAAGCAACAGATGCCAGTATTGCTGTTCGTCACTATACAGCAATCAATCTTGTCCACATTTTTATATTTTTTGCATTTCGCTTGCGTTTGCATTGTGATACTAATGCATCTATATCATTGCGATACTTTGAATAGCACCTGTGGATCTATTTGTATGAAATATTATTTAGAGATACAATTTTATCGGGGGTTCAAATGAATTCCAGCCTGATTCAGACTTATAACTCAGGATATATTGTATTGTCTAGGTATGTGAGTAAAGGTTATATTATAATTTGTTTTGTTATCTTTGAAGTGTTGTGAATATGTGTGTAATGGTGAATCTGGTAAATCACTGAAAAGATTTTTATTTTTTTTACTTATGTAATTTTAGTGACGCTGTGGTTTATGACATTTTCCTTTGAATAATTGTAATGTAGAGGGAGGGTTAAGCTTGCGGCCTCCTGGTAGTTTTGCGAACGGATGGCGTAGTCTTGCTCTTTCGCGAATTTTGTAAACATTTTTGACATTCATAAGCATGCCCTAAGACGCATCTAAACTGACTAAACGTATTTTGATTGATTGATTGATTGAGAAAACATAACTCATATTTCAGAACTCCGATAACACAATTCAGTGAACCATAACCACAGACGAGAAGGAAGATCAAACTTAAAAAATCTACTTTGGATGCCTTCTGTGGGACAAAATCACACAGATTTCTGAAAATATGGGAACTAATTAAATCCAAATAAAATGTTAGTTTCGTAAAATAAACTTCTATGATGCTAGTGGTAAGTAGTATGACTGTGACGGTGACTTCGGAGCAGTAGTCTACAAAACGTGAATAGATATGTAAAGGACAGACAAATATATTTAATCTTAATTTTATAAAACATATTTAATATAAAATAGGTATAAAATCCCATTAAAAGGTCTGATAACTTTTGTTAACTGTCTTTATAATGAGCAATGCTCATAATGAGGACATACTCGTTTCAGTTTATTTGTGTAATATCTTGATTGTTTCGTTTTTGGGTTATTGTGTAACCAAATCAAATAAATTCAATGTTATGTGCATTTTACGAGAAGAATCTAAGCATAAAAAGGCAAATAAAAATTATAGAAAGTAATATGTAAAAATATCACTTTAGTTTTTACTTAATATCTTTTTGTGAGACTAAAATCCTCTACAATCAATCGATTCGTTGGATTCCAAAATAGAATTACAATATAAACTATGAATGGTTTTTCAAAGAACATTCATAGCACGTTTTGGCTATTAAATTTTTCATCTAAAATTGATTCAGTTTTCGCGAACAGTTTTTGGTAAGGTTTTGAACCTCCACTTTTTGACGTCTATTTTTAGGGCTCGAGGACCTTCATTGGAACACCTCCAAGTGAGTTGCTCCGAAACGCGTCAAAAAAACGGTTTTTTTTTTTTTCACCTGGGAAACCCGATACGGGCCCCCGCGCCTGGCGTGTGATTGGCGCGGGGGTGTGCAAGGTCGTTGCGATGGTCCCCAACCCCTACCACCAGGGCCCAATACATAGCCATACACGTGTAGGCAGTAAACAAAACAAAACAATATAGCAAAATAAAAAATCGGTCAGCAGTGTTTAATTTATAGACATATTTGACAGCTTTAATTAGCTCCAAAAATGGGTCTTTTTTATGTTTTGTATTGTTTCGCCGCCACAAATATTCATAGACATGATCTGAAAAATTTTCAGAGTTATTATAATTATCCTTTTTAAAAAATCTTTTACTGCCCTCCTGTACTCATCTGTTGGGTCCATCTCACCGGGTTTCAGGGTCTGAATGATTCACTTTTTGTGTATGTACCCATGGTCGCCAGTCGTATGCTTTCCAGAACAGTATGAATGATAGTACCAACTTCAACATGTTTTTTGAATGAGAGGAAGTAATTTCAGCTGATCGAATATTATTTGGGCACACTTCCAATCTTAGGTCTTCAGATTTGTCTCGATCATACCAAGGACCCAATAGCCCTCAATATGTCGTCCTACAACAATTAAAGAATTAGTTAATAAGCTTAATGAGTTAAATAAATTTTGTAGATGTGAAATATAGGGTTATTGGAAGCTCTGGTTTTTAAATTACACTCTAGGAGTAAAACAGACTAATAACACTAGTAAATATTAATTAATAGTGCTATAAAATAATTACCTCGATTATATTTTCTTTTCCCAAATTAGATTCATCAATCTGGACTATCTTCCCTGGGCCACCAATCTTCCTACCGCTTGAGTTTATCCATTTGATATATAACTATAGTTTCCCTCAATACTATACCAATCACATATAGTAACTCGGCTTAAGATTTAAGTCTACATCTTTATATGGATCTTCACGCATGGTTGTAAGATAGCTCCAATTTTGCGAAAACGCATATAATAAATAGAAAACATGAACTAATTCTATTTTAATATTTTCGAAAAATGTCCTTACTAGGAACTTTAGTTTTTGATCTGCAATTTCCTTTCGTGCAACACCATGAACCAAATGTTTTATTCGTCATTTGCAATTTTCATGGGTTTCGATGTGTACTACATTGCTTTTGAGAATGCACTAAACCATTTTCTTCACGATGCCACACACTGCTCATGGTCCTAATTTTTTTATATAACTATCGATTCCACAATGAGACCACTTCCTCACTTCAAGTCACGATTCACAACGGACCCATCGTCCTCAAAATCATTTTCACGAGTAGAACTTGTAGCGCCATCACTATAAATCTGAAAATGATCGCGAGAAATCAGTGTTGATTATGTATGTAAAGCCAAGTTTCAAAAAATGCAAATAAAATAACGCACTTTCACGTGAAAATAAAAAAGAAACGGATTTATACAGTAAACTTTGCACTGTAAAACTAATTACCGCTAGTCTAGCATAAACCACATTCAAAATGGCCGATTAAGTTTATAAAATTAATAGGGATGTGAAAAATAATCGATTTTTTTAAAGTGAAAATCGATTTTTGTATTCGATTTTAATATTAAAAATAATTGAAAATTCGGCACCAAATATTCATATACTAACTCTAACCTAACC